AATATAGAGTTTAATACCATACATGGTCAAATATAGAGTTTAATACCATACATGGTCAAATACTGAGTTTAATACCATACATGGTCAAATACAGAGTTTAATACCATACATGGTCAAATACAGAGTTTAATACCATATATGGTCAAATATAGAGTTTAATACCATACATGGTCAAATATAGATTTTTTTTAAACACCATACATATAACTGAATACATACAGATGTGAATTCCAACCATGATCGAATACAGAGTGTAATATCGGTACCATACATGGTCAGATAATATAAGGTTTAATAAATTAAAGGAAATGAAATGGGGTTTAACGTCCCACTGTTCTGCTCTAGAGTTTAATACCATATATGGTCAAAAACAAAGTTTAATTCCATACATAGTTAAATATCGAGTTGATGACCTGCGAACTTACCACCCATCCGCCCCCTCCCACAACCAACCATAGGCTATACGCCAAACCACTAAAGCTTCTTTAAAAGAGCTCTATCTCACAGCTTTTATATAAGATGTATCAAAAAATAAATTTAAGACCCGAAGCGAGAGCAGGTACAATCGAGGCTTCAACGGGAGTTGCATTCCTGTTCTTTTTTTTATTATATTATATTGTCTAGTTGGGTATGGTGTATGCAAATAGAAGGTCAAACTCCTGTGTTCTTAGCGAAGGTGTCAGTGTTGGTAGATGTAGATTGTTTTCTATCGTAGCAAGCGAACTGGACAAACGAGATCTTTTATCATGGGTGTTCTAATCCATTTAAATCATGGGGGGTTGGATGGCTGAATGGTTAGCGTGCGCGCGCTGTATCATAAAGTCTGTCATTGAGTCGACTGGCGATGTTTCGAATCCCCGGTTGTACGTGACAAGGAGTAGGGTCGCCTGTCCAACCTCGTGGGTTTTCTCCGGGTCCTCCGGTTTCCTCCCACTGCTAAAGATCCCTATGCCCAAGCGAATTATTGAAATAAAATTAAACCATATGTTAGTCCCGAAATGACATAGTTTGTGTCGAGTGGACGTTAAACCCCATTTCTCTCTCTCTCTCTCTCTCCATTTAAATCCCTGTCATCTAAAGGGTATATTATAGACTTGACATGGTAATAAATGTCTAAATATAAACATAATCCAAAATAAAGAGGACAATAGACAGATTTAACTGGATCCAAAAACAAAAGACCTGCACTAGACAGATTCAACTCTTACATACAGCATCAAGTACAAGAAACTCCCATAACTTGATACATTTTCTCACTTCCTGTTTCCTTTGTTTTTATGAATAAATTTTCATTTCAATGGCAATATATATGTAACTACATACAACCATTATTTGATATAGACGACGAGAAAAATAATCTCTTGTCAGATTTGTGAATAAGACATCAAGGAACAGAGATCTTCTTTAACAATATATATTTTTATTTTATCTAAGCCGTTATCGCTAATAGGTTTATGTCTAACAAATGTTCTAATCTTTCGTCTTGTTCTTTCAATAGCATTAATTTCGATATGGATCACGCTTAACAATCCAGTGTTTAATCCCCTTATCGGCTGGTATTTCTTTTTTAAGTTTTATATCCTTGTCTAATTAAATGAAATAAAATGGGGTCGGTTTAACTACTCTGCAGACTGGGATAATAGAGATGAAAGAGATGCATTTAGCTGAAAGAAACCCGTTCCTCCTGTAAGAGTATTGTTGGCTCTTGATGACAACAACTGATTTAACTCCATAATATTTGTATTGTGCCAAACATTTTATATACATTTGTACATCTTAATTAACTTGTGTTGTTGGAGATATGGTCTTAACGACCGACTGCGTGTTCTTCTTAGCGGACGCGTGATGTCGCAGACACGTTGTCATATTTTCATGTTTTTTATTATCTTAGCGGACGCGCATGGATCTTTCCTGGTCAGTTTCCAGCCCCGATAGTCAGCCCCACGCCCATATATGGACTATGCTCCGATTGGGGAGAGAAAAGCATTAGCCAATCAGCTACCGACATGTGTTGGCGCCCGGACTGCGAGAATCAAATGCTATCCAAAATGATTACACAGCTGGGTCTTTGCATAACGCCAGATAAGCTTTATGTACAAACTACTTTACAGGTCAACGGACATCATATATCTCAGACCAACCATCTAGTAATGCGTCAACCATTGGTCATGAGTGATATTATTTTCATTGAGCAGTAATGATCGAACAATGATCTGTTTTATATTCGCTTATATTTTGAACATTTTGTAGGTTGTCTATTGGTTCGGATAAATGTTTCTATTATTGGGATGTTGTATTTGTCAAATACCAATGCTATCCGATAAATACATAACTTGTCACCCGTATTTCTTTACATACAAAGTTAAAATTGCCATCCGCTGTACAAGTTATATTCCAAAAATATATATATAGTTTTAATCTTTAGTTTAGTCTTTCGGATGGTACGTGCACGTAAAATAGCCCTTGACAGTTGGAATTCGATACAAGAGTATGCCACTGTCCTGGCAATATTTCCACCAAAGCTCACTGCTGGGTGTGTTGGCACAAAGGTTAAAGGTGTATATCATGTAAGTTAAAACCGCATTTCAATTTCAGCCAGTGCGCTACTTTATTTTACGTACTGACTATGAACATAAGCCTGTATTAGTCTATACCCTCTTTATACGTGGGGGGTTGGATGGCCGAATGATTAGCACGTGCGTGCTGTATCATACGGCCTGTCAATGAGTCAACTGGCGTAGTTTCAAATCCCCGGTTGTACGTGACAAGAAGTAGGGTCGCCTGTCCAACCTCGTGGGTTTTCTCCGGGTCGTCCGGTTTCCTCCCACTGCTAAAGACCCCTACGCGCAAGCGAATTATTGAAATAAAATTAAAAACCATATGTTAGTCCCGAAATTACCTAGTTTGTGTCGAGTGGACGTTAAACCCCATTTCTCTCTCTCTATATATATATATATATGTGACCTAAAACGTGTATATCGCTTGGATTCACAATTAAATATTATGCAGATTTGATGTAGATATTGAAAAGCATACAGACTAACCAGGATGTGTATGACTTTTGAAACCCACAACTTCATTGCCTTTTGATGTATTTGAACCATCTCTAAAGAAGCCCCGGTGGACTTTTAGACAGAATTGCTTATTTCATGAATTTAGACTTCTGCAAATAATTACTCCCAAGGACGTAACAATGAACAACAACATCATCGATTTCTTATGTATTTGAACCATCTCAAAGGATTCTGCGGGTTATCTGCCTAACTGACCCCTCGGTGGACTTTTAAATGGAATTGTTTACGTCATGTATTTAGACTTCTGCAAATAATTTGTGACTGGCTAATTACGCCCAGTGGCTTAACATCTAGAAAGGGCCTCCTCGTGTCTACTAAATCTATTTTAGCAGCAGAGATTAACGGTTTTCGGTAGGTTCGGGAGATAATTTGGCACTCTACAGTTCATGCAATGAAAAGTAAAGTACAAAATTTCAAGGTGCTTGTTCTGTGGCAATCTGATTAAAACACAGATCCTATTTCGTTTCGTTTTTTATAGTTTAAAATTCCGTTTTACTACGCTAGGATCTGGACGAGTTGTCACCAATGACGTGGTCTGGATGGTGTGAGGAATTCACCAATGAAACGGTCTGTTACGGCGAGGTTTTGGCGCGAGGAACACGGTACTGTAGGTAATCCACTGGAAACGTCAATACTGATTGGTTAATCAAATGTCTGACGTCATAAGGTCAAAAGCCGCTCGTGTGACGTCTGACGCGAGCTCCCAAAACAACTGGTCAAATGTTTATGTTCTGTATTTTAATCAGATTGGTTATGTGGCTAAAGTCGTTACAGAAGTCTATTATGGAGAGTATCAAAAATGATACAAACCGATACATTTTGGTGGATTCTGCAGTTAAGAATTTTCTAATAGATCCACTATTTCGTATTAATAAGTACCACAGATATATGAATAATGTGAGTCTCCACTGATAATTCCGAATCACACATTACTCCTAAGTTTCTAGCACTTGTAGAAAGGGGAATGGAAGAAACGCCAACAGTAATGTCTTGAATACCACAACTGTCTCTTCTTGACTTTGGACCCAGGAAAAGTACTTCAGTTTTTTTCGGCGTTGGGTTTGAGTTTGTTGGAATGACCCAATGTTTGATTTAACAGTAACAGTTATAAATCTGGAAAGGCTGAAATTGGGGATGGATCAAATATTGTCATGACGTGTGGATCGTAAAAGTGTCTAAGAAACCCATGTTCAACCTTCCAAAATATCTGGTGTGTAAAAGTAAATAACATCGGATCCACTACTGACTGTAGGTGCACTGTGTCTAAGAAACTCATGTTCACCCTTCCAAGATATCTGGTGTGTAAAGTAAATAACACCGGACCCAATACCGAGTGTAGGCTGACAGTGGTTACGCCAAATTGACGCAATGTAACACCTACAAAACATGTAAGTTGTATGTGCTATTTTAGTAAGATACAATTTCAAGACTAAGCAACAGAGAACACGGTAACATGGAGCTTCTGAATTTAAAGGTTAATTTGTTTAATTTAATTGCATTTTTAAAAAATTAAAAAAGATACATTAACAATTCATCAGACACATACAAATCTCGAACAACAAATTTCAAAATAAAAATCTCCAAATACCAATCTTACAAATCAAATGACAAAATCATTTCTCCAATTTTATCTAACCTGAACATTATGACGACATGGGGCAGCTCGTGGTAGCCTGTTGAACGGCTCTACCAAACGATAAATCAGTAGTTGCACTATACGGTTCTTTGATGGTATACATTCTTTCTTAATTTAAAGATTTATATAATAATTATTAAACTTTTTATATAATTTTAATTTTAAAAAATATACTTATAATTTTGTAATATACAATAATTATATAGTAAAATATAAACCATAGTGATATACACTTATATACCATGACAAAAGAAACCCCAAAGAATTAGATAAACAATATATAGCACGATAATATACAATAGATTACATTTCATGGTTATCGGTGGTAAAATTAACATTAGGGTTATCCTGAGTATCATTAACCGGTGGTATCAATACTTGATACATATCCGTCATCATTAAAAATGTACTCCGACAGGATTCGGATGAGTTTTTCTCGACAAAACACTCATTGCCAATATCTATAGATCTGTAATTATAATATGAAAATGACAAAGTTAATAAAAGACACCAATTGGTTAGGAACAAGTGTATTTTCCATGTTACTCCCCCTTGGATAAGGAATCGGTCCACAACCATCGTACGATTATGTTCATATTTTTTCAGCTAATTGGAATGAAGAGCCATATAGATATTGACCAACTCTACAGCAGTAGAAGTTGATAAGTCAGTTGTAGGTTAGAGAGATGACCAGATTAAATGAAACTTTTAATCCTCTCTCTGTCATCGGGTGCATTATACACATAGTGCTAGATAAGTGATAGACTAATCCTAACTATTAAGGGGGGAGGGGGTTTGGTTCCGATTTCTGCCAACGTTGGAATTACTACGGCAACGACGAGAAAACATCTGTAAATGATTGTCTACAAACTACTACTTCAAAGCAATAGAAGCATCGAAAGCGAAGAAGATTTCAACCGAATATGTGCATTGTTTAGTGATCACTTGTCCTTATATCATTTTAACAGTTGTACACATTATTAAATCGGTTGTTGTGTAGATTTGTCTGATCGATGTATTGTGTGGATCTTGAATCAACAATCGCTAACTATTCACCTGCATGTGTAGTCTTTCCATTTATTGAACCCATCGTCGGGGGTGGGTACGTTTATCATGTTAACATTTTCAAAAATACATCCCAAGCTTGCTAGACTAATTTTTATCGCACATTTCAAGTGAAAATCTGAAATAAGAATAATGATATATATACATGAGACAGCATCCTTGGTGGTGAGGAGGGGGGGGGGAAGCTGGCCGAATGGTAACGGCGTGAGCGTTTTATTATAAGTCTGCCATTGAACCAACTGGCGTGATATCGATTCCCGCGTGCTGGTTTATCTTATCCATGTTTGCTTTCCTATCGGTTTTTGCATAAGATTTACTGTTTAGCGTATCTTTGCTTTAGTGTGTTACGTTTAATTTGCAATGAAACGTCTTCAACATGATGAACGTCTACGTGCTATTCGCACGCTTCAAATGGGTTCTACACAGCGAGCTGTAGCCAACATGCTTAAAGCGTCACAATCTGTGATCAGCAGACTGTGACACCGGTATCAACAAACACACAATGTTGATGATAGACCTCGTTCAGGTCGTCCTAGAGCGGCTACACAAGCCCGGGATCGGGACATTGGTCCACAGGTCCTGCGAAATCGAGGACAAACGGCCAATTAGCTTTCTGTTAACTTGTACCAACTTACAGGAATCCCAAATGATTAGAAATCAGCTACATAACTCGCCAGCACATAGCAAACAGGCGCCAATGGTGTAGGCGGTGCCGAAATTGGGTAAATCGTCGATGGGCGCGTGTAATGTTTCACCGATAGGTGTGCTCGCGTTTGGAGGCGTGTAAATGAGCGTCATGCTAACGTCAACGTCAGACAACATGACAGATTCGGGCACCGATAGTTCTGCCCTTTGCTCAACGTGCAGGTCGGACCTTTGCTCTATAGAGCATGTCTAGGACATGATTCGTCGACGTCAACGTCAACCGACAACACTGCAAGAATTGCACATGTCACTGCAAGAGGAGTAGGTCAGATTGTCCCAAATCGTGATTGGACCGTTGATTAGGAGCATGCCACGACGAATTGCTGAATGTCCGAGGACTGGTGGAGCAATTACTCATTATTAAGACAAAAATCAAAATCGTCCATTTTCACTTCTGACAGTGTATCTATTTGCGAGTGAAGGGTGCCGTCGGATAAGCCGCCCATATGAACTATTTATGTTCATGTGTAGGCCATTGGCCTGTTATCAACATACACTGGTTACCTCTAATAAAAACAGTAGTGCATTTCCGCTGTTTTGTATTGTTTCTGAATATCCCCTACTTTTTTTGAACAGTATATTCTCTGCCACACATCTTGTTGGCTTTATAATCGTCTAGATTGTCTCTGGCGTATTTTATTGTAATTTGCTAGTCGCCAGGACAGCAGCCAACTATATGGTTTCAGGAATAACGGTACAGCAGTTTCTTTAATATATTTTTATATGGTAGCAAGTTACACAATAGTTTACTTTACAATATTTAAAATAAACACGCCATACTCTCAACCCCACTAACGGATCCCACTACATCAAGGTTCTCCTGCCAATCAACAGGGTCTACTGAATCCAGATGGTGTCTCTTGAATCTCAACGGTGTCTCCTAAAGAACCTAATGTGTGTCTGGTCTCTAAAGAATATACATGATGTCTAAACATTTGAGCCGTGGTTTGTTTTCCTGGTATAATTGCCAACATGGGCACTGGCCTTGAGAAATCTGTCACGTGGGGACCTGCCTGGATTTATGAAATGTGAATGAGCAATTACATCTAATGACGCAACTGGTACATCACAAAAGTTCTGAGCAATGAAAAAGTTAACCTTCATGGCTGTAGGACCTCATATCCTGTTATTCTCACGGTATTGGAAACATGTTAACTGAGTTTCGTCTTACTTGTTCATGAATATTTTGTCGAGGTCTTAATATTGTTATAATTATTCGTAGAGAGAAAAAGGCCACATATATACGGTTGTGCTAACATATCTGTAGAATTTAAAATGCATGAAGACCAGGTAAAATAACTTACATTCATTGTTCTGGCAAAAATAAAAGTAGTTTGTAACATAAGCATTAGCTGAAGGAAAAATTCTGTTAAATTCCTGCGAGAGACATTTGCTCATGGCACCTCGTATACAGGTAATCAGCGATACGTATTCTGTCTTATTGCTGAAAATGTAAATGTTTATATCATTATGCTAGGAGTAATGATATGTGTGAACGTTTTGGGGTTATCATATGGAATGGTTGTCAGTGGTGAAGGACAAATGGGGCCAGTGTATAGTCGTTCGAGTAGGACGAAAAACCGAGGTCCCGTTTACGATATACGAGTAGGCCGTAGGGGCGCTGTTCCGGCAGCATGTCCCTCATAGTACACTGTATAGCGGTATTATATGCCCGTCTTTATCGGCCCAGTTCGGAGTAGAGTAATAAGGCGTTACACCCCATCTCATATTTACGATTCTAATGATATAGATAATTGTAATCAAGCTATACAAAGTTAGGACAATCGTGTGCTACAGTAAGTTTGAACGCCCAACACGAATGTTTACTACAGTGTTTTAACTTCCAATTGGTCGAGTCTTTGAAACGAAATAGTTTTAAGTTTAATGGATTATCTGGTCAGGTTAAATATATTGTACTCTCTAATTTCCATTTTAATTCAGCATTAAGGTAAGATAGTCTATTGTAATACACAGCATTAAGGCAAGATAGTTTATTGGAAGGTCCAGCATTAAGGTGGGATAGTCTATTGAAAGGTCCAGCATTAAGGTGGGATAGTCTATTGGAAGGTCCAGCATTAAGGTGGGATAGTCTATTGAAAGGTCCAGTATTAAGGTGGGATAGTCTATTGGAAGGTCCAGCATTAAGGTGGGATAGTCTATTGAAAGGTCCAGTATTAAGGTGGGATAGTCTATTGGAAGGTCCAGCATTAAGGTGGGATAGTCTATTGAAAGGTCCAGTATTAAGGTGGGATAGTCTATTGAAAGGTCCAGCATTAGGGTAGGATAGTCTATTGTAATATACAGCATTAAGGTAGGATAGTCTATTGAAAGAGCCAGCATTAAGGTGGGATAGTCTATTGTAATATCCAGCATTAGGGTGGGATAGTCTATTGTAAGAACCAGCATTAAGGTAGGTTAGTCCATTGAAAGAGCCAGCATTAAGGCAGGATAATCTATTGGAAGAGCCAGCCAGTCTGCTTCACTTATAAACACTGGGGGTGGGGGTGGGGGCGGGGGGGGGGGGCGTTTAATTGAGCCAACTCACCAACGAGGGTTAACTCGAATTTTTCTTTTTTTAGTATGAGTTATTTTTATACTGACGAGATTATACTGTGCAGTAACGTTTTCGTTCTGTATTGAACTTAACTTTAACCCTTGAAGCCATCGATATAAAATGAAATGAAATTGGGATTTACCTATAGGCAAATGAAGACGGACAACGACGCTACGGCCTACTATCATATCGAATTCCAACTGTACAGTAGATCCCGGTGTTCCGTCCCATCCGAACTGCTATGCGTTATCCCTCTTCTCTCTGTCTTGCACAAGGGGGACCACGCCTGAAAATCCCGATGAACTTTTTCGGCCACTCCCCATTCGATATAACTTCATAATAGCGTCTACATACATGTACCTGGTTGGATTAAACTGACGCACAATAATAAAACCGTAACTTAACTTGAATTATTGGATCATTCGATGTTACTTTATATTGAAACAAAACCATGGGATATGTACTTTAAATACATATGTGATATAATGATATAGACATATGTGATATCACAATTAATGCTTTGCATCAATAAAATTAAATCACAATGTCATCGTATTAATTCATAATAAAAATTGACGTCAAACAGGATGTTGGATTTCTCTGTTTAAAAAGCTCAATGTGTATGTATATACGCCAAAATTGCCCAAAATGACGATAGAGACCATGTATTTCTCAAAAAATTTCAAGCCGAGGGGGGTGGGGGAAATACATTTTCTCAGGAACCTGCATGTACGTTAATTTATACCATATACTACAAATATACCACGAACGTTAACTATACCATGTACTTTATATACATCATGTATTTTAAATATACCATGCACGTTATATATACCATGTACGTTAAATATACTATGTACGTTAACTCTACCATGTACGTTAAATATACAACGTGCGTTAAGAATACCACGTATGTTAAATATACCATGTACATTAAATGTACCATGTACGTTAAATATACCATGTACGTTAAGTATACCATGTACGTTAAGTTTAACACGTATGTTAAATATACCATGTACGTTAAATATACCGTGTACTTTAAATATACCATGCACATTAAACATACCATGTATGTTTAATATACTATGTACTTTAAATATACCATATACTTTAAATATACCACGTACGTTAAATATACCATGTACTTTAAACATACTCTATACGTTAAATATGCCATGTACTTTAAACATATCATGTACGTTAAATATACCACGTACGTTAAATATACCATGTACGTTTAAGTATACCATGTATGTTAAATATACCATGAACTTTAAATATACGACATTTAACAGTGTCGCAGATTTGTATAAAGTAACATACATCTGAGTCATACCTACAATTGTTTGGTTTCAGTGTTTGAAATTACTTGTTTACGAAATCCTCATTAGTTTCTTTAAACCTTGAGAATATAATAGTAACTATGCAATTATAAAATAACAAATAACACACACACTTATTCATTTTGTAATTTAATAGAAAGGCTTTAAAATAAAATCTATTTAAGGAGAGGCGGTCATTCAAGATCATAAACAAACATAATATACCTGCATTAAAATACAGGACAACATTGGCTTACCTTCTTGGTCATATGAAAACAACATGCACAATACAATACATTAACACCATTGTTCGGTAAAGCATTTCATATAAAAGATCAATGAATTATACAAATAAAAAGTCTTTGAATAATAAAAACGAATTAAAATCCTAAAATAAAAGTGGCAATTAGTAAGACGTAAAAGATAGTTAGGAAATTTACAGCTTTAATTAATAAATCTTCCCGTTGACATACGAATTGCAGGATTTCTTATATATGGGTTCCCAGAAAAGTATTTATCGGGTGGTTATTTCCAATAAAAGTATGGCAATTTTGGTATATATGGAAAGTAGAGATATCCAATCTTACTAGAAAAATACTGGATTCCCCGAAAACACTCATGGAGCGTATACAGGACAAAAATGTAAGGGTTCCCCTATTCAACAGCCCGACGATTAAGAATTTCTGCACGCGTGATGTCAAAGGTCACACGCGAACATTGAGCGCTTGATGTACAAGTTGATAAATTTTATGAAGAGTTAGACGTACAACACTTTCTGAGATAAAAATGACGGAAAAAGACGCGGGTAGTGGATAATCCGAGAATTTAATTAGGATTCGATATTTGTAATAAATAGTAAGCGATTAAAGACAACATCGTCTTATGTATGCAATGAATTCTCCGCTGATTTCCAAGACGTGACGTAAACCTGACCTGGTTTGATCGAATTTTAATAGCAGGGCATTCCTTCGCAATTACAATGTTTGAGAAGGATTTGAAGTATAACTATGACAAATTAATTAATTTGAATATGTTTTTAGTCCATATATACCATTAAATCACCCAGTTTGTACGCGGGAACCCATCTTTAAACAGACACTGCACGAATGATAATGATACCAATTAAATCCTGGGGGATTGGATGGCCGAATGTTTAGCACGTGCGTGCTGTATCATAAGGTCTGTCATTGAGTCAACTGGCGTGGTTTCGAATCCCCGGTTGTACTCGACAAGGAATAGGGTGACCTGTCCAACCTCGTGGATTTTCTCCGGGTCCTCCGGTTTCCTCTCACTGCTAAAGACCCCTACGCTCAAGCAAATTATAGAAATAAAATTGAACCATGTGTTAGTCCCGAAATGACCTAGTTTGTGTCGAGTGGACGTTAAACCCTAATTCTCTCTCTCTCTCCAATTAAAACCCATTCCATAATTAACAAGCCAACAGTGAGGCTGATGTCCACCGCCGAAATCAAAAAATAAATAGATGACACATATTAATTAATAGCACATTTATTTTTTTCAAAAGTATCAAGCAATCAAACTGATTATCAACTATACACTAAGATCGATCACTCTCTATCGTGCCCCAAAGCATCAACCAATCAAATTGCTTATCTCTGCATACCCTAAGCAGAAAATGCTCATCTTCGAACTCCATCAAGGCATTGACCTAATGAACACTTACACCACGTGTGAACATTCTAGCTAATTCGAAAGAGAGTTATTGTGTCCCAAAATGTGTGACGGACAGACAGACGGACGGATGGACAATCAGACAGACTGTTACACAATTGAGGAAATATCACTTAAAATCCTCCATACATTGAAATCAATTAGCAATCTTATCAGATGATCAAACATGGCACTAGCTTGACACGACTAACGCAAGGCCTTTGTCTGGTAAAGCAATCTGTACCGAAGACTTGATCGGGCAATGGCCAGATGTGTAATCTTTTGACATCCTTCGTCTAGAAGGGTTTACAAACCCAGAATACAAACGAATCGACGAAGAGGCGGCTAGGCGAGACGGAACGAGTGAGGGCGTCTTGGAGTTGGCACATTTGTAGCTACACTACACGGTTCTTTGATGATATACATTCTTCCTTGTAATTTAAAGATTTATATAATAATTATCAAACTCTTTATATAATTTTAATTTTAAACAATATACTTATAATTTTGTAATATACCATGACAAAAACATATACCATGACAAAAACATATACCATGACAAAACATATACCATGACAAAAACATGTACCATGACAAAACATATACCATGACAAAAAACATATACCATGACAAAACATATACCATGACAAAAACATGTACCATGACAAAACATATACCATGACAAAAACATATACCATGACAAAACATATACCATGACAAAACATGTACCATGACAAAACAGATACCATGACAAAAACATATACCATGACAAAACATATACCATGACAAAACATATACCATGACAAAACATATACCATGACCAAAAATATACCATGACATAACAGATACCACGACAAAAGAAACCCCAAAGAATTAGATAACAATATATTGTAAAACATATAGCACGATAATATACAATAGATTACATTATATAATATATAATGACAATAAATTATATATCCAAATATATATCATTATAATATACAATAGACTATCCAAACAATATATCATGATAATAGATAGTAAAATATATTTCATGATAAAATGCAATAGATTTACTAATGAAATATTTCATGATAATATACAATAGATTTACTAATTAGATAGGAAAATATATTCCATGACCAAATACACCTATTACAAGGCCAACCATGAACAAGATAACGTTATTATTATTTATGTTGACACTATTATTAGGGTTATCGGTGGTAACATTAACAGTAGAACAAACCGGTGGTATTAATACTTGATTCATATCCGTCATTATTTCAAATGTACTCCGACAGGATTCGGATGAGATTTTCTCGACAAAACACTCATTGCCAATTTCTATAGATCTGTAATTATAATATGAGAATGACGAAGTTAATAAAAGACACCAATTGGTTTGGAACAAGTGTATTTCCCATAGTTACTCCCCCTTGGATAAGGAATTGTTCCACAATCATCGTACGATTATGTTCATATTTTTTCAGCGTATTGGAATGAAGAGCCATATAGATATTGACCAACTCTACAGCAGTAGAAGTTGATAAGTCAGTTGTAGGTTAGAGAGATGACCAGATTAAATGAAACTTTTAAACCTCTCTCTGTCATCAAGTACATCATCCACATAGTGCTAGATAAGTGATAGACTAATCCTAACTATTAAGGGGAGGGGGGGATGGGTTCCGATTTCTGCCAACGTTGGAATTACTACGGCAACGACGAGAAAACATCTGTAAAGGAGTGTCTACAAACTACTACTTCAAAGCAATAGAAGCATCGAAAGCGAAGAAGATTTCAACCGAATATTGGTATAATTGGACTGAATCATGTGCATTGTTTAATAATCACTTGTCCTTATAACATTTTAACAGTTGTATACATTATTAAATCGGTTGTTGTGTAGATTTGTCTGATGTATTGTATGCATCTTGAATCAATAATCGCTAACTATTTACCTGCATGCGTAGTCTTTCCATTTATTGAACCCATCGTCGAGGGTGGGTACGTTTATCATGTTAACATTTTCAAGAATACATCCCAAGCTTGCTCGACTAATTTCTATCGCACATTTCAAGTGAAAATCTGAAATAAGAATAATGATATATATACAGTAGACAGCATCCTTGGTGGGGAGGGGGGCGAATGGTTAGCGCGTGAGCGTTGTATTATAAGGTCTGCCATTGAGCCAACTGGCGTGATTTCGATTCCTGCGTGCTGGTTTATCTTATCCATGTTTGCTTTCCTATCGGTTCTTGTATAAGATTTACTGTTTAGCGTATCTTTGCTTTAGTGTGTTAAGTTTAATTTGCAATGAAACGTCTTCAACATGATGAACGTCTACGTGCTATTGGCACATGCTTAATGTGTCACAGTCTGTGATCAGCAGACTGTGACACCGGTATCAACAAACAAACAATGTTGATGATAGACCTCGTTCAGATCGTCCTAGAGCCGCTACACAAGCCCAGGATCGAGACATTGGTACACAGGTCCTGCAAAATCGAGGACAAACGGCCAATTAGCTTTCTGTAAACTTGTGCCAACTTTGAGGAATTCGAGTTACTCCCAAATGATTAGAAATCAGCTACATAACTCGCCAGCACATAGTAAACAGGCACCAATGGTGTAGGTAGTGTCAAAATTGGGGTAATCGTCGATGGACGCGTGTAATGTTTCACCGATAGGCGTGCTCGCGTTTGGAGGCGTGTAAATGAGCGTCATGCTAACGTTAACGTCAGACAGATTCGGGCGTGGGTCTGTTATGGGGTGGGGAGGAATCACCATGACTGGCAGAACGGACTTGCATATTGTTCAAGGAAGGGTCACTGGCGTGTACTACCGTTACCACATGCTGGCGCCGATAGTTCTGCCCTTTGCTCAACGTGCAGGTCGACTTTTCATCTTTCAAGATGATAATGCCCGTGCCCACCGCGCTCGTGTCGCGAATGATCGTGTTGTGAATTTGGAACAAATATTTCGTCGAGGTCTTAATATTGTTATAATTATTCGTAGAGAGAGAAAGGCCACATATATACGGTTGTGCTAACATATCTGTAGAATTTAAAATGCATGAAGACCAGGTAAAATAACTTACATTCATTGTTCTGGCAAAAATACAAGTAGTTTGTAACATAAGCTTTCGCTGAAGGAAAAATGCTATTAAATTCCTCCGAGAGACATTTGCTCATGGCACCTCGAATACAGGTCATCAGCGATACGTATTCTGTCTTATTGCTGAAAATGTAAATGTTTATATCATTATGCTAGGTTTAATGATATGTGTGAACGTGTTGGGGTTATCATATGGAATGTTTGTCAGTGGTGAAGGACGGGTAGGGCCAGTGTATAGTCGTTCGAGTAGGACGAAAAACCGAGGTCCCGTTTACGATATACGAGTAGGCCGTAGGGGCGCTATCCAGGCAGCATGTCCCTCATAGTACACTGTATAGCGGTAGTATATGCCAGTCTTCATCAGCCGAGTTCGGAGCAGAGTAATAAGGCGTTAAACCCCATTTCATTTCATATTTACGATTCTTATAGATAATTGTAATCAAGCGATACAAAGTTAAGACAATCATGTGCTACAGTAAGTTTGAACGCCCAACACGAATGTTTACTACAGTGTTTTAACTTCCAATTGGTCGAGTCTTTGAAACGAAATAGTTTTAAGTTTAATGGATTATCTGGTCAGGTTAAATATATTGTACTCTCTGATTTCCATTTTAATTCAGCATTAAGGTAAGATAGTCTATTGTAATATACAGCATTAAGGCAGGATAGTCCATTGTAAGAATCAGCATTAAGGTAGGTTAGTCCATTGAAAGAGCCAGCATTAAGGCAGGATAATCTATTGAAAGAGCCAGCTTCACTTATAAACACTGGGGGTGGGGAGGGGCGTTTAATTGAGCCAACTCACCAACGAGGGTTAGTCGTAGGGTCTTTTCAGCCCAGTTGATGCAGAACAGTAGGACGTTAAACCCCATTTTTTTCATTTAATAGATATTAAAGGATATAATACTAAACTTATTAAAGAATTGTAAACAGATCCTTAGACGAGAAACCCAATTCCATTCTCCCACTGCTGAGCTGGAAAAAACTATGGAAGCTTAATTACCTACACACCATCGAAGCATTCAAGGTAATAGGAGTCAAAATTTGTTGACGTGATTTATTAACGTCAGTGAATACGGGATATTCAGTCATACATTGGTTGGTGTCATTAATATAACTTGTACACCCTTTGAATAGATCTTCCTTTTTTGCGTTGACTACGTTGGTTACGCCTGCAATGGAAATTTAAATCCCTATTTCATTATTGGAAAGCTCAGAGAGCCTTTTTTAGGGCAAGGTAAAGTGACAAAAATTGTGACAATACCTGAAATGGTGGATCCTCAAACGGACATTCATGACAAACGATAATTGTTTGTTTTTGTTGGTGGGTCCTCAGAAAATATCCGATAAAAATTAATTATTCGTAAACCAACAGATCGGTTGCAAATTGTCACTTTAAACATAAAATAATGGAGCGGTCGAACATGCCAGATATAAAGTATGTAATATAACCAAGCAAATGTGGGGGGGGGGGGGGTGCTGGCCGAATGGTTTATATAGGGGCTAAATCGCTAATATTTGGCAGATAGAAATGGACACAAATGGGTCGGAAATGCAAATAATAATATAATATGAATGTATGAAGTCTCAATCGAATGACAATCTCTAGCGTCTGGTTATTCCAGTCTGAATCAATATGATTTATTGCGTGTGCTCTCCAGATAAGAATATGGCGTAACCGTCTGACATGACTTTTGAAATATGTCTAGCCTCGTTCTCCGAGTCCTTTGTTACAATTGGCACTGAAATGCATTATGGTACACGATATCGGAAGCCCATCTTTTCTCGGTAAGATCACAACATCAATGTTGATTTAAATTGAGAAATAAGTCGTGTTTTCAGTGTCAAAGTCTCTGAATGATATTGCGTTAGAGAATTAGCTACTTTAAATAGATTTTAGGTTAAAAAAAACGTACCTATAATTGAGCCAAACAGGAGAACTTTCAGAGACATTTTCTGATCAGAGATCTGGTATATTCTGTAACTCAGTACGCACCTGAAATATATACAAGACGTCAATACGGGCTGATATATTTATAATATTTGATCAGATACTGTACCATATATATATATATATATAAACACCGCCCAATTATATAATATAGGTGATTCATTGGTTTTCTTCTTTCACCTTAAAACTGCTTCAATTTGATGGGCGTTAACTTGTTGAGAGATCCGGGTCGTAGATTCACTTGGGATGGTTATCAGAGCGTACAAATCTCTTGCTTGTATTTTTCTTTTTTTAGTATGAGTTATTTTTATTCTGACGAGATTATACTGTGCAGTAACGTTTTCGTTCTGTATTGAACTTAACTTTAACCCTTGAAGCCATCGATATAAAATGAAATGAAATTGGGATTAACCTAGGCAAATGAAGACGGACAACGGCGCTACGACCTACTATCATATCGAATTCCAACTGTACAGTAGATCCCGGTGTTCCGTCCCATCCGAACTGCTATGCGTTATCCCTCTTCTCTCTGTCTTGCACAAGGGGCAACCACGCCTGAAAATCCCGATGAACTTTTTCGGCCACTCCCCATTCGATATAACTTCATAATAGCGTCTACATACATATGTACATGGGTGGATTAAACTGACGCACAATAATAAAATCGTAACTTAACTAGAATCATTGGATCATTCGATGTTTATTTAAACAAAACCATGGGAGATGTACTTTAAATATACCATGTACGTTATATATACAAGAGTAGGCGATAGTGCCGCTGCCCGGGCAAAATTTCCCTCATAGCACACTGTATGGCGTATGCCCGTCTTCATTAGCCCAGTTTAGGAGCAGACCAGTAGGACGTTAAACCCCATTTCATTTCATTTCATTTATATATACCATGTACTTTATATATACCATGTCAGGGGCGGATCAAGGGGGGGGGGGGGGCTCGTGCTCAGCTACATAAATTGTAAAACAACCTTTTTATGGGAAAAGTGTCATAATTGTGCTTTATTCTTTATCATCAGACGGTGCGACAGGATGGGCACTCAAAGCGCGAGATAATGATATAGACATATGTGATATCACAATTAATGCTTTGCATCAATAAAATTGAATCACAATGTCATCGTATTAATTCATAATAAAAATTGACGTCAAACAGGATGTTGGATTTCTCTGTTTATAAAGCTCAATGTGTATGTATATACGCCAAAATGACGATAAAGACTATGTTTTTCTCAAAAAATTTCAAGCCGAGGGAGGGGGGGATACATTATATACCATGCACGTTATATATACCATGTACATTTAATATACCAGGTACGTTAAATATACCGTGTAGTTTAAATATACCATGTAGTTTAAATGTACCATGTACGTTAAATATACCACGTACGTTAAATATACCATGTGCGTTAAATATACCATTGTGCGTTAAATATACCATGTACTTTAAATATACCATGCACTTTAAATATACCATGTACGTTAAATATACCATATACTTTAAATATACCATGTACGTTAAATATATCATGTATGTTAAATATACGACTTTTAACAGTGTCGCAGATTTGTATAAAGTAACATACATCTGAGTCATACCTACATTTGTTTGGTTTCAATGTTTGAAATTAGTATCTTACATAATACATCCGTGCCTTATTGATTTCTTTATTTTTTTACGAAATTATCTAATGATAGGTTTCATTGGTTTCATAGGAATATAAAAGTAACCATGCAATTATAAAATAACAAATAACACACACTTTTTCATTTTCTAATTTAATAGAAAACGGTCAGTCAAGATCATAAACAAAAATATATACCCGCATTAAAGTTTATGTTAACAACTAAAAATACAGGACACCATTGCCGTTCAACTAGGGGGGGATCACGTGGCTAAGTGGGTAAGACGTTGGCTCGCTAGCCTGGAGGTCGGGTGTTCGATCCCTGCATTGGCCGAGAAAGTTCATCCAGATTTTCCGGTGTGGTTTCCCCGTGTCAGTGATGCAGTATGGGGTCCTGACAATGACAGCTGTCTAGTCGTTCGGATGGGACGAAAAACCGAGGTCCCGTGTACACATTGGCGTGCACGTAAAAGATCCCTTGGCAGTTGGATTTCGTTGAAGAGTAGGCCGTAGCGCCGTGGCCCGGGCAAAATTTCCCTCATAGCACACTGTATGGCGTATGCCCGTCTTCATTAGCCCAGGTTAGGAGCAGAACAGTAGGACGTTAAACCCCACTTCATTTCATTTCCTTTCAACTAGTATTTTCATTTTTTTCTCTATTAAAAGCTTTAAAATAAAATCTATTTACGGAAAGGCGGTCATTAATATAAATATATACTATACCTGCATTAAAATACATGTTAACAAAGAAAAATACACGACACCATATTATTCTTAGTCATATGAAAATAACATGCACAATATAATATATAAACACCATGCTTCAGTGAAGCCTTTCAGATAAACCCATATTTTCTCTCTCTCTCTCTCTCAGTTTACCAGTAAGGATCGTCATCCAGGTCCGGGTTTTCGAGTGCGTTTGCGCCGGCTACATGGAAACGGTCAATTTAAATTTACATTAGACTAACCTCTGCGCCAGGGAAAACACCGCAAAAGCGCGTACATTGAACACGATCCTTGCAGTAATTGTACTAAGTGCATTCGCTGGTAATGTTATCACGAGATTCTATTCATCGCTTATAATTACCGTATCTGATGAACATTAGGTCACGATGACCCTTATATTATTGCATGTCCTGGTTTGTCTCTATTTTGTCAAGGTCAAGTCAACATCACACCTGTATAATATTTACGTGTTCATCCAGGCGATATACCTGTGTTAGGTCAAGGTTACGTATATTGAAAGCATAGACTAGCATAGGCTTATGTTGACAGTAAAATTCCCAACAGAGGCGCAGAGAGAGAGAGAGAGAGAGAGAGAGAGAGAGGTTACCAAATTCTTTTTAAGAGATTGTTGAATAACTTTGGTTTAAGTGGACTAGCCAGCCATACCTTGAAAACCGTACACATACAGTTGTTATCAAAGGTTCCCGGTTTTAAAGTATGGCGTGTACTACATACACAACATCTTTAGGAAATGTCATTCGTAGATCTTTCGCGCACAGAGAGAGAGAGAGAGAGAGACTAGGTCATTTCGGGACTAATATTTTGAACATAAAATTTGTGAATATTGAGATAAAATAAACGGTCAACGAGAACTTTAGTACTCCAGTTAGTAAAATCTCCGCCTGAGACATATTCCATTTTTGCAATAATATGTGATGCGAGGTGAATTGTGGCAGGGGAGTTAATTAGTTCTCAATATAAACTGTTTTCCTCTGCAAATCAATATCTAAAACCTTTTTTAAATTATTATTAAAGTTGTTTTAGCCCTCTTCTGGTCGAAGCGTTTGTAGATCAGTATAATTCCTTACTTTAATAGTATAGTTGTCAACAAGTAGCCTACGTTCAAGCTCCATTCTAAGGCGACAGACTGTACAAATGTTCTGCCAATTCATACAGCAGAGGCGAAATGGACGCTCAGTGTTATGGCCTGTAATTTGTTGGCATTCATTGTGGGTGGGGTTGTTGATGGCGTCCTAGATTTAGACCCCGCTCCACCCCCATTCTCAGCTTCTAGATCCGCTACCGTTTGGGAAGCTACCACGAGATAAATAATGTGGCTAGTAATATTTATGACAGTGACATCATTTAAGGCTGGTGAAATCTGGTGTTTGATTCTTACTCCTTGTTTTGGCTTTCGTGGTAGGGCCCATCGGTAGGATTCAAGCCAACAAGAATTCCAAAACGTATTAGCCTATATTTTAGATGCATTATGAGATAACCTTAGCGAATAATTACATAGTAATAAAGGTGCACAATGCTCGTTTCACTAAAATAAAAGCGTACATAACTTTTTCCAACCAAAAGATTAGTCGACGTTTACGCCCGCTTTTAGAAGAGATATATATATATATATATATATATATATATATATATATATATATATATATATATATATATATTTAGATGCTTGGTTTTCAGAAGATGTAAGGGCTTATTAAAACCATTGCTTAAAGCTACAATTTAATATTTTCTAAGAAAGTCAAAACATAATTATGCCTATGTCTTTTGCTCAATAGGTTGTCAACTCACTATTATACGATCATAGATATCATTCTTACACTCAAAAGTATTTCACACCGGAAATAATAACACAATTACCTCCTAATTACCTCCCTTGTTTTTCTACTCCCTACATGGAATAGCTATCTCCAAACGTTTGAATTTTAAGTTAAAAATGATATTTTTGCCAATTTCTCAACTGGCAATAGTGAATTATAGGATTAATAAGATTATTCTTTAACAAGGTAGGACTGTTTATACATAGCATCGATTTTAAGGCTTTATTTTAATACATTTTAAAAATATAACTTAAAAATATGAAATTGTAGCTTTAATTTAAACCAATTCAAAACGAATAAGCAGGGGCAATTAACCTGGTGCCTAATGCGAAATGAAATCCCAATTTTGAGCTTCAAATAACTTTCCGAGATTTAACATATCGAGTATGTTCAACTACGAGAAAGGTGCCCGACACTAGTGTCCATCACCCTTTGCGGCTAAATATCAAAATATATTGATAACTTCTCTAGAAATCGCTAGTAATAAGGACTCTTCTAAAGATGAACCTCAAGAGCAGATAACGTTATTATAGACGTTGCTGAAAGGCGACAACTCTTCCAATATCAATACCGGCCATACCCCATGTTTTACAATAGAAAGAAGATGGTGGTAATTCTACTGTTTTAACTTCTCTAGAAATCGCTAGTAATGATAATGACGCTTCTAGCGATGACTCTCAAAAGCAGATGCCGTTATTATTGACTGGCGACTCTTCCATTAATATCAATACCGGCCATATCCTATGTTTTACAATAGAAAGAAGATGGTTGTAATTTATGGATAAGAATTGTGCTTATTGTACAGATCTCTCAGCATTGTTCTGAAAACAACTTTATTCGCGCTTATCTCTTTGCTCAGAGATATTTAAAGAAAAAAATAAACAATGATTTTTCACAATGCCAGTATTATATTACACAATTTGTCTTGAGCGATGATGACTCTTCCTTTACAATTGTGGAATGGTATCACAAACTCCATCATGTGCTACTTCCACCTGGATATTTTGCCTATAATAAATAAGACAACGGTGATTAACAACATGTAAATAACTTAATTAAATCAACCAGTCCATAATATCATGTACAACGTATTGGACGTTAAATGTGTAAAAAAAACCACCAACAACAATCATCAGAAACCTTATGAAATACATATATTCTAACTAAACACGAAGCCGCTGTGGCTCAGTGAGTCAGGCGTTGGCATCCTTCGTATTTTCCGGCCTAGTTCCCCCTTGTCAATGGTGCAAGCCATTTGGCGTGCACGGAAAAGAAAAAGAACAGGACACTGCATGGCGTTTACCCGTCTTCATTAGCAAAACCGGAGCAGGAAATTAGGACATTTCATTTCATGTCTGACTAAACACTTTTAATGTTTCCTGTACAATATGTCAAGCCTTCAAATGGCCCTTCCTTACAGGACTCGGAAGGTTCGCGAAATAAATATTATGCGCATTAAGGCCAAGTCTTCTGGGTGCGAGATTGACAATTACAATATTAAAGGACAATATCACATATGTGATAGAACTGGTTAAACACATTCCAAATATAATTTTAACACAAAGGCCACTGCTACAATAGATGCGTTATGAAGCATTCATGAAAGGGAAGTGACGAACGCAAAAGGAAAACACGAGTTATCCTTCTACTGTATATAACTGACTGAAGTGACGAGTGATAACAGATTCACGGGCAAATTTTTGCTCACTAACAATTCCTTCGAAGACCAAAAGTATATGAGACTGAGGGAGGATATCTGACAATTCAAAAAATAATTGACTCTCACGAGAAAAATAGAAAAAGTCCGTGCATTACCATGTTTTTATTACCATGTTTGAAAGTTTCACAACGCATCTATCGTAGCAATGATCTCTGTATTAAAATTATATTTGGAACGTATTTAACCAGTTTTATCACATATGTGATACTGACTGACACCAATATTGTCCTTTAACTTGTCAAAATGAAAACAAGATGCATATAAAAGGCAAGATAGTGGGTAGTTCGGAAATTGTATCCCTTGGTCCGAGGATTTGGAATGCCTCCATGATCCAAACTTTTTGGGGATATAATAAAACAAAACGTCTCAGTACGGCTGCTAAAGTTGCAACATCAGCAAGGTTCAAAAACACAACATCTCTCGGCATCTGCTAAAGTTGCAACATTAGCAGGATTAAAAAACGTCTCGGTACGGCGGTTAAAGTTGCAGCATCAGCAGGATTAAAAAAAAAACGTCTCGGTACAGTTGCTAAACTTGCCAATATAAGCAGGGTTAACAAAAAAAAAACAAAAAAAAAACGTCCCGGTACGGCGGTTTCAAAAACAAGAACTAAACAAAAGTCAAGGCCGAAATTGACAGCGGCAACTTGAACTATTGCTTGGAGCCCAGTCGAAACCTTTCTCAGTACTAAACAATAATTGTATTGCACAGGATTGTGGCCTGTGTATTAAATGAAATGAAATGAAATGGGGTTTAACGTCCTATGGTTCTGCTCCTAAAGTGGGCTTATGAAGACGGGCATACGCCATATAGTGTGTTATGAGGGAAATTTTGCCCTGGCAGCGGCACTATGGCCTACTCTTATATCGAATTCAAACTGCCAAGGGATCTTTTACGTGCACGCCAATGTATACACGGGACCTATCCGAACGACCACAAAGCTGTTCCTCTCAAGCCCTCCTTCCTGCACCACTGATAAGGGCAAACTTTCTCAGCCACGCGACCTCCAAGGTCCCGTGTATACATTGTATATATTTGTCAATATATAACTGACAAATTGGACGACAAACAGATTACAACAAAATTATCTAGTTTATTGTTTTGTTTAATGATTGGGATAAAAAAAAAATGAAAAAAACGTACATGCAGGTCAGAGATTTCATGGTACAGAAGTTACTGTAGGTTACACCATTATCACCACAGACTGGCATCCAAATGAATTGACAAGCACGAAGACATGGATCCTCCGCTGTTGGAGCACACCAACACCCTGTTTAATAAATATCATCGGAGCATAAATAAAGGAACAAATAATAAGACATGGATCATCTGTTATTGGACAACACAGACTGCCTGGTTAATAAATCAACAATTAATCAGTGTCCCAATGAAGGAAATGCAGAGTTATGAAAGTTATGGGATACTCGCTCGCGCGAACTGTCATGTTAAACGGAGAATGTTTGGACATACGGTAACGTCATGTTAACCGGAGAATGTTTGGACATACGGTTACGTCATGTTAAACGGGGAATGTTTGCACGTTAAGGTCATATTAAACGGTGAATGTTTGGGCATACGGTTATATCATGTTAAACAGAGAATGTTTGGACATACGGTAACGTCATGTTAACCGGAGAATGTTTGGACATACGGTTACGTCATATAAAACGATGAATGTTTGGACATACGGTAACTTCATGTTAACCGGAGAATGTTTGGACATACGGTAACGTCATGTTAACCGGAGAATGTTTGGACATACGGTAACGTCATGTATTAAACGGTGAATGTTTGCACGTTAACGTCATATTAAACGGAGAATGTTTGGACATACGGTAACGTCAAATTAACCGGAGAGTGTTTGGACATACGGTAACGTAATGTTAAACGGCGCATGTTTGGACATACGGTTTCGTCATGTTAAACAGAGAATGTTTGGACATACCGTTACGTCATGTTAAAAATACAATGTTTGGACATACCGTTACGTCATGTTAAAAATACAATGTTTGGACATACAACTTCGTCATATTGAATGGTTAGGCTAATGTTTTGGCCTACGGTTACGTTTATATTAAACGGAAAATGTTTGGACACACGGTTACGCGATTTTAAAAGGGGAATGGTTACGCCATGTTAAACGGATAAAGTTTTGAGATACGTTTAAGTCATGTTACGTAACATCGACAGTGTTTGGGCATACGGTTTATCGTCCATTCGACACCAACAAGCAAATCCCAGCTTAGCCAGAGCGGTGCCCTGGGCCTGACTAGATTATTTCATATCCTTTTGAATGGGTTTCGGCCAATCACAGAGAACGTTGAGGGATTGCAGACTCACCCAGTCTCTGCCCATTGCGCCGCTAGAAGCCTCGACCGATCACCGAGTGGAACTTCACAGAGAAGGTTGAGGGATAGCTCAGTCCCCGACCTCGCGCCGCTAGATCGATTGCCGTGAAACTTTCTTCTGGAATTTGATTTTTTTCTCTTTAGGCCATGAACCGCCGGGCCCCGTAAACCGCCGGGCCCTGGGCCTGGGCGCCTCAGACCCATGCCTAAGCTGGGCTTTGCCAACAAAGTCATTTCGGAACTTGCGCGTTGCGGGGACCCGGAGAAAACCTACGAGGTTGGACAGGCGATCCTACTGTAGGTGGCTAAATGACAGACCTTAGGATACTATGCGCTCACTAACCATTCGGCCTTCCAACCTCCTCTGGTGACAATTGTAAAACAATGGCACGAAATAACCCTATAGTGTAGTCATGTGGAGAATATTCCATATAAATAAGTTTGCTTACCTGCTGTAAAAAGAAGAACGACGGTTAAAATCAGAAGCTTCATGTTGTCTTAGTTCTATCAACAAACTGTTGTCTTATCACGATTAACACCTTACTTCGTTACACTGACCTCGTGATAAAAAATAAACCAGATAATATCGGTTCCAAGATAGGATGTTTAAACAAAACAAAAAAAAAACGCCCTGGTTTTGTCTATGTATAAAAAGTAGAACGGCCGTTAAAATCAGAACCCCCATGTTCTCTTATATTAAAGATGTATTATGTCAGATTTAAACAAAGAGCTGACGATCTCGATTTTATAGTTTAAAAATACATGTAGATAATGAAAAGGGATAGTGTTGAAATTTTCAGTCAAATAACTTTTTTTCTGAGCGAAGTTATGAATGTTTGAAGTATTACGTAGTCTCGATTTTCATGTTATTTCGTTAATAAAACTTGTCTCGATTATCCATTTTTAAATTAAATTATTAAGTGGCGATCGTATTTCACTCTGTTGAAAATCTTAACTATCCGGTGGTCTAGATACCTCTTTATGGGCTTGCCATGTAAATAAATGTATTATTAATAAATTTATATAAAAGATAACAGCTGATAAGCCAAAAGAGAGACCTAGAATGTGCAGATTTGGCTCTTACATACTGCATTTTTAATCTCGTATTGTCCAATACTAAATTAATACATGAGCTTGGCGCAGCTCTTAAAAATCAAATTGAGATAAGATATATTAAGCACATGTGGGTCTTGTATCAATCCTTATTTCATAGTTACTGTGTCAACATTTGAGGAATTACACATAGGCTTGGTAGCTTGGCTTGCATCTAGGGCCTCAAGATGTACCTATAGACTTGGCAGGATGGCGTCTAAGGCCCCAAGATCTTGGGCCCACTATAATATTTCTGACACTGTGATAAACTTTTCTTACACACACATCCGTCATCACCCTCGACTTTGCTCAGTTGTATTTAAATACAGTTTCATCGTCCTCGAAAATCTTAAGGGAGATAAAGGGGTCTGATAAGATATTTCTAAAAAAGATGATAAAATAAACTATTAATGTTCCAGAAAAATTATAAAAAAATTGGTTTATACATTTTCCTGGTCCAACTCAGAAGTGGAAGAGTCTATTGCTTGTCTTCATCGAAATCCTACTCTGTGTGTCTTTACATGTATCTGTTCCAGAAATATAGATAATAAACAGGAGTAAGAATATTGCCTTTGCTGTGTTTTCTTGGTTTATAATAAGTTCCTGTGTGCTAATGGTATCTATATTAAGGATCGAATAACCTGGGATAGAATCACGGAGCAGAACAAGGAACACAATAAAGAAAGAAGTAAAACTTATTTCTTCTTTCAAAATAATACATTATTTTTTAATTTTAATATTTAATTATATAAATTTCCCCGATAAAACACATATAATAAATTTCGGGTTTAAAATGTTGATTTGGTAAATAAATGTTGATTTGGTAAATAAAATGTTGACATAAAAACAAAAATTAGTTTAAAATAATACAAAATGTTTACACTGGAACATAGAAACACAAAATCATCAATAGTGTCCCATATGGTCTTCCATAAATTTGAGCCACCAGTATTTCACAATAGTAGTACTGTAATATCGATATTCGGCCTGCTGTTATCAGTACAGTCTCATGACGAACTAGTTGTATGGGGTTGACAACAGTTACTATTAAAGTAAAGTACTGTTTTGATTAACAAACGCTTGACCAGAAAAGGGCTGAAACATCATGAAGATTTTGGTGTTAACTATCGTTTTACTTTTAACAACGGGTGAGTGATATATATTCGAAGCGTCTGGATGACCCGTCTACCAATATTTTAGACGACTGGATGATCTATCTTCCAATACTTTAGGTGACAAAACGAGAGCGGAGGGCGAAATGAAGTTTAATGTCTACTCGGCACAAACTAGTTCATTTCGGGACTAACATGGTTCAATTTTATTTGAATAATTCGCTTGTGCTTAGGGGATTTTAGCAGTGAGGGGTTGGGGGCGGAGAGGACCTACGAGGTTGGATAGGCGACACCACCCCTTGTCACGTACAAGAGGGGAATAGAAACCACACAAGATGACTCAGTGACCTTACGATCAAACGCTCGCGCGTAAACCATTCGGCGACCTGGATACCAATGCCCCCCCTCCCCCACGGCCGAGCCCGATGCAAAGACCTATCCTCCAAATCTGTATAAGAGAGAGAGAGAGAGAGAAATGGGGTTTAACGTCCACTCGACACAAACTAGGTCATTTCGGGACTAACATATGGTTTAATTTTATTTCAATAATTCGCTTGCGCGTAGGGGTCTTTAGCAGTGGGAGGAAACCGGAGGACCCGGAGAAAACCCACGAGGTTGGACAGGCAACCCTACTCCTTGTCACGTACAACCGGGGAATCGAAACCCCGCCAGTTGACTCAATGACAGACCGTATGATACAGCGCGCGCGTGCTAACCATTCGGCCATCCAACCCCCCATATGTATAAGACCTGAACTCTGTGATAGTGCCAGCGATACAGGTGGATCGAGTGCTGACATGATTCTTGTATCTACACAAATATTCCCGGTTAATATATTTCACTGAAATTCATTTCCCGAATAGTATCACGGAACATTCCGGTTTGTCGAAAAATTCTTTGGCTGAATGGGTAAGACGTTGGCTCGCTAACCTGGCCCCGTGTTCACAAAGCATTCTCAGACTTAAGTTGAGAATTTACTCAAAATTGTTCGCCTTAATTTAACTAAAATATAGCCCTTTATAATAATTTTGTTGTTTTAATGTATCAAATACATCAATAAGAAACTATATGCAAAGTTTTGTGTTTCTGGATCAAAGATATTTCTCATAAACTGATTGAAAGTTGAGCAAATTCTCAACTTAAGTCTGAGAATGCTTTGTGAACTCGGGGCCAGGATGTTTCGTGTTCGATCCCTATGTTGACTGAGAAAGTACATCGGGATTTGTGGTGCAAGACAAAGATTCTGGCGAGTGACCATGGACGCAGATCAAGGTGGGGACACCAGGACGCGTCCCCACCAGTATTTGTAGTGGTGGGGATATGATATACTGTGTCCCCACCACTTATTTTCCATGTTTTGCTTACTGTTAATTTTTTTTAAAATTGAAACAATTCCAGAGCTTTTATTGACATTTCAGAAAGTGTAGAGTTGGTCCCAGGCACTTGAGGTCAGGGTCCTACAGCTGCACCCGGTGATTGATTTTTATTTAACAGGGAATAAGTGATAATTCATATTATAACAGTAAATAATTAAAATATTCCATAGGGATTATAATAATATGTATATCATGTAGGTGTGCATATCTGATATGCTGAGTATTAAAAAAGGGTTAAGGAATAACTGAGATTTTGTTTTTATCTGGTATACTGGGTGATAAAGGATTTAGTTTGTATATCAGGGGAACCCTTCATTGCTAGATTTGCTGCCATACTAAATAAACGTATTTTTTTTTAAATCTAAAATTTTAGACTCGAACCCTCTATTTTTAATGAGCCAAGAATCGTGTACTTATTATTACAAGTAGGTGAATTTTTTTTGGCTGAAGATGGTTTTTAGAAATTTAGGAAATTTATCGGAAAAGACATTTTTTAAAACCTGTCATGGGCCGTCCAGAAAGAAGACAAGGGGAAAAGAAACGGGCAGATCTAGAGTGGATATAAGTGTACTGTTCTTTAGTTTTAAATATATTAAACACTTTATTGAATGTTTTTTTCGATTAAAAAAATGCTCTCTGAACTATTTTGTTATTGGTAAAAAATTCCTCAGAATCGCTGAGAATGCATATTTAGACATCATTTTGTAACAAAAATTAAAAAAATTGTAAAAGCCCCCTCCCACTTCTAGCGGCTCACGCCAGCGGCGTTCTGTTATATAGTCGGTCCTGGTACTATGTGAATCATTAAAATAGCTATGAGAACAATATAAACAGCTAGATTTAACTTTTAAAAAAGCGAAAAGTTATTATTTCATATGTGGTCGCCATTTTTGAATTTTAACGTGGGAAAAATCGCCTTTGCCATCGGATTTTTAATCACCAATGAATAATACTGTAAAATGTTACATTTATTTCAATTGGGATTGAATATTGATATGTTTAGCTGTATGTGTGGCTTGTTTTAGTTTATATAAATTAAAAGATTTGTAGGCCTGTACATTTGTGTATCCAATTGAATACACATTTTGCTCAAAGACTTTACGTAGTCTTCGAACACTACTGGGAATGGAGGCGGAGCTGAAATCTCAGTAGTGTAAATATTTCTAGTTCTTGTAGTGTACATGAGAGAATAAATCGTGAACGGTGGCGTAAAGATTTGTCTTTAGATTAGATTTCGTATCATTTTCTGCCTCAGGGATTAGAATTGTTTGCCAGAAAATGATGCTGAAAATACCCACAGAGTGCGTTTTAGAGCGTCTAGTTTTCCAAAAATTTCGGGGGAGAGAGAGAGAGAGAGAGAAATGGGGTTTAACGTCCACTCGACACAAAGTAGGTCATTTCGGGACTAACATATGGTTTAATTTTATTTCAATAATTCATTTGCGCGTAGGGGTCTTTAGCAATGGGAGGAAACCAGAGGACCCGGAGAAAACCCATGAGGTTGGACAGGCGACCCTACTCCTTGTCACGTACAACCGGGGACAATTAGAAATAAGAGTACGTTGTACGGAGCAGGCCGGGCAAAATTTCTCTCATAGCAGACTGCATGGCGTATGCCCATCTTTATTAGCCTAGTCGGAGCAGAAAAGTAGGACGTTAAACCCCATTTCATTTTATTTTAAGTAAAATCCTTACATACATCTCTAAACAATCTTCCGATTACCAACTATTTCGCCTTTATTTATTGCAGTGGTTCTCAACCTTATTTTTGCGAAAGGCACACCTTGGAACACATGAAAAAATAGCTGCACGTCTGGCTAAATATAAAATGAAAAATATTTGAATTTTTACCAAATAGAAACATGGCAAGTCATAGACGACATACATCCGTAAATACCTAGTCATTGACACATTGAATGACTCAAACTAAATAAAGAAAACACAGCAATAAACTTATCAGTAGTGAATACACAATTGGGATCACATGTTTTTTCGCATTTTCTTAGTGTGCTGTTCAAAATGTCGCGACACACTGGTTAAGAATCACTGGTTTATTGTTTATTATAGTTGCAACTATTTATTTATTTCCAGGTTGTTGGAGTTCACCAATACGAGATTGTCGTACTATACATTGTGGTGTTTTAACCAGGGCACCTGTGTGTGGCAGTGACGGTGTAACATATACTAATTACTGTACTTTTGATTTAATGATTTGCTCGTAAGTCTCTCAATTTGTTTATCTTAAAACATATTTAAACCTTTAAACAAACTGGTAAACCCCGATATTTGTCGTGTGTCTTTTACTCTAAATCTTTAACTGACATATTAATGTATATATTGTAGAGCGATTACATTTACATGTATAACCCTAGGGTTTTGTAGAGGGAATATGTGTATAACCCTAGGGTTTTGTACAAGAATATGTGTATAACCTAGGTTTTGTAGAGGGAACACATGTATAACCTAGGTTATATAACCCTGAGGGTTTGTAGAGGGAATATGTGTATAACCCAGGGTTTTGTTGAAAGAATACGTGTATAATTCCAGGGTGTGTAGTGGAAATATGTGTACATCCTATGATCCTAGGGTATTGTAGAGGGAATACATGTATAACCCTGGGGTTTTGTAGAGAGAATAAATGTATACCCTAGGGTTTTGTAGAGAGAATAAATGTATGCCCTAGGGTTTTGTAGAGGGAATAAATGTATACCCTAGGGTTTTGTAGAGGGAATAAATGTATAACCCTAGGGTTTTGTAGAGAGAATAAATGTATACCCTATGGTTTTGTAGAGAGAATAAATGTATACCCTAGGGTTTTGTAGAGAGAATAAATGTATACCCTAGGGTTTTGTAGAGGGAATAAATGTATACCCTAGGGTTTTGTAGAGAGAATAAATGTATACCCTAGGGTAATTGAGAAGAAGTACAAGTATATCTTAGGGTTTTGTTAAGGGAATATGATGACAATATATATTTTTATTTTGTGTTGTTTTTTTTTTTATCAGTCAGAATATTTATTCTGTTCAAACCTTCACTGTTTTCAAGTATTTTTAGTGTCATGTGTATCCTAGGGGTTTGTGTTGATATTTTTTTGATATATTGTAGAGGCCAGATACGCGGCGTGTGGACGGTGCATAATGGAACGTGTAGTCAGTGAAATGATTCCTACGGATTCATAACAAGAGTAACAACAGCTCTCCACCATAATCTAACACAAATAAAAATTCAAACATCTTTTTGTTATTTTTAAATATAAATCGGCGATAACCTTAAGGGGGCATTAGGTAAGATTAGATATAAAGAGATAAAGAGAGAGAGAGAGAGAGAGAGAGAGAGAGGGAGAGAAAGAGAGAGAGAGAGAGAGAGAGAGGGGGGGAGAGAGAGAGAGAGAGAGAGAGGGTTTAACATCCACTCGACACAAACTAGGTCATTTCGGGTCTAACATATGGTTCAATTTTATTTCGATAATACGCTTGCGCGTTGGGGTCTTTAGCAGTGGGAGGAAACCGGAGGACCCGGAGAAATCCCACGAGGTTGGACAGGCGACCCTACTCCTTGTCACGTACAACCTGGAAATCGAAACCCCGCCAGTTGACTCAATGACAGACCATATGATACAGCGCGCACGTGCTAACCATTCAGCCACCCCCCCCCCCCCCCGATTAGATAAAGAGCTATATTAGTTAAAACATAGATAATAAAAAGAGAATATTATGCTGAATATTTCAGTCAAATAACCACTCTGACAGTACTCGTTATAATAGTTTAAAAAATAGATGATAAAAGAGAATATGCGGAAAATTCCAGTCAAATTATTTCACTCTGAGCCTAGATATTAGCAATACAATTATAGACTAGTCTCGATTGCCATTATTACCGTTGTTACAATACACAAAGTCTCGATTATCTATTTTTACGGTAACCGCATCAACCACAAAAAATAATTAAATCTACTTATATCGCAGCCATCCGATTGAATCTCATGTTGATTGTGGTCTTGGTAAGTTCATTAATGTCTAATGAATAATTTACATAGCATTTCAGGCCTGCAGATTTAGCTCTTGCATAATGTATCTTTAATACATGTTGGACACCAGTGATTCTATTGTTACAAACTAGGTCAATTCGGGACTAAAATATGCTTCAATTTTATTTCAATAATTCGCTTGTGCGTAGGGGTCTTTAGCAGTGGAAGGAACGGGGGGGAAACCCACTAGGCTGGACAGGCGACCCTATTCCTTGCCACGTACCACTGGGGAATCAAAAACCACGCCAGTTGACTCAATGACAGACCTTATGAAATGAAATGTGGTTTAACGTCCCACTTTTCTGCTCCGAACTTGGCTAATGAAGACGGGCATACGCCATGCAGTTTGCTATGTGAGACATTTTGCCTGGCCTGCGCCCTACAGCCTACTCTTATTTCGAATTGCAACTGTCAAGGGTTCTTTTACGTGTACACGGAACTTCGTTTTTTCTTCCTATCCGAATGATTATACGTTGTCAATCGCCAGAATCTTTGTCTTGCACCACAACTCCCGATGAACTTTCTCGGTTAACCTAGGGATCGAACACGGAACATGCGAGCCAACGTCATACACTCATTGAGCCTAGGAATGTTTTGACAAACGGCTATGTTCCGTGAGACTATTCGGGCAATGAATTTCAGTGAAAAAAAAATTAACCCGGAATATAGGTGTAGATACGAGAATCATGTCAGATCTCAATCCACCTGTACCGCACTGCGGCCTATTCTTAAATCGAATTCTAATTGTCAAGGGATCTTTTACGTGTACGCCAATGTATACACGGGATCTCGGTTTTTCGTCCCACCCCCTTCGCCTTGCATTACTGACAAGGGTTAACCACGCCGGAAAATCTGGATGAACTTTCTCGAAATGCTGGAATCGAACACCCGACCTCCAGGCCCTATACAGACCTTATAATTTCTACTTATATACGGCAGCTCGGGATCATGTTGTCAAAGCACCAAAACTGGGATTTCACAGAACCCTTTTTTGTATTACCCTGACGCAAAGAAGCCAATACCAATTGTGTCAACTGGCCGATGATGTGCACAGATGTAGCATCGTGTCCCGACAGCCACACCTGCGCTCATGGTGTGGTTTCGGGTTCAGATCAGCTGTCAAACGATATACATCGGAACATTGACACCTCGGAATAGACTGGTCGTCATTCACTCCGAACTGTCTTATCAGAATTACGTTGGATTGGTTATAAATGTTATTCATTATCTAATGGGTCGAAGACAGTTGTCTGGTTTACCTATGGAAGCCACCTCTGACCACCATACATGGTTGGATCAAATCTAATCTGTCAAATGATACTTTTCCGGAAAGCTCCAAAAATATATGCCCTTCATTTTAATTACTCCCATGTCTAAACCACAAATCCCTGGCTCTCTGCTTGTAATAAAACTATAAATGCTCATGGTTACACATCCACAATTACTAACGACAAACATTTATTAAAATATTTTATTATTTTAAATAACTTTATTGTGGTTCATAGAAGGAATGCATAACAATTTCAATATATACAGGTCATAGTTTATATTACCATGGCAACAATATGTTAAAGCCTAATAACTGTTGAATTTAAATCAAAATAAACATCTTTATCTAAACAAACTTATTTTGGTGAAAACCAATCAAGAGTTTTCAAACCTTGTATTTGAGAAATGTGCTGGTTTGTACTTGAATTTGTATACTTTAACTAAATGTGAAGACTCCACGTTTTTTTTTATTTAACTTTATATTGCTACTTTAAATATTGTTTTAGCAAGTGGGACTCTAATAAATATCAATTATAAAAAAAAACATTTAAGACAAGAGAGAGAAATGGGGTTAAAAGTCCACACGACACAAACTAGGTCATTTCGGGACCAACATATGGTTCAATTTTATTTCAATAATTCACTTGTGCTTAGGGGTCTTTTAGCAGTGGGAGGAAACTGGAAGACCCAGAGAAAACCGGAGGACATGGAGAAAGCCTATGAGATTGAACAGGCGAGGATTCGAAACCAGCCACTTGACTCAATGACAAACCTTATGATTTCATTGGCCTAGCACTCAACTCATAGCACAAATTTTACCTTTTGGCCAATGAAAAGCCTGCATTCTCAAAATATTTTAGCTTAAGTTTTCTTGAATAAACCCTGAACAGCAAGTCAAAGTCACTATGACGAAAACCATAGGCCTTAGGAGGAGATACCTGGGAGGGGTTACCTGTCTAAAACCGTAGGCCTTGGGAGGGGACACCTGTCTAAAACCATAGCATAGGACGGGGATACCTGTCTAAAACTAAATGCATTTATCCCTACTTATACATGACAGACCTGGATAATCATTTTTGTCTGTTTAACAACCAAATTCAGGGGCTATTTGACTTACAGGGGCTATTTACAGGGACTATTTGACTTATAGGGACTAGTAAATTATATACACATATATTTTTATATATTTATATATATATATATATATATTAAGCAAAAATTCTTTAATATGCTACAACTATTATCACCAATTTCTTCTTGTAGACAATTTAAAATTCATTAAAATAAATTTTCTTTCTTTCATGAATTATCCTGTTATTACTAGATTAGAAACAAGAAATTGAGAGTTATATCACAAATGCATATAAATACACAGCTGTTACTTTCTCCTCCCACTTCATCTCTGTGCATGGCTGGTACCAATACCTCCCCATTCTAATAACTTTTTGTCAGGATTTTCTTGCCAATTTCCATCCAGGTCTAAATTCAACTGAAATAAAATTATTATTAAAACATTGTTATGATTTTACATGGGAGTTAATGAGTATATTGCCTTGTCAACTCCCTTTAAATGGGGCAAGTCTGTAACTCAATACCATCCATTGTCTTCGACATTGAAAACAAGAATTATTAGTCAATTTAAATCAACATTGATGTTGTGATCTTACTGTGAAAAAATGAGCTTCTGATATCCAATATTTAAGACAAGATGAAAATTTAAAAATTGGCACATAAATTGCATGCCAGTATGTTTCCGAGTGTCATTCGACTCGATGAACGAGGCTAAACATATCCCACAGGGGAATACTAATGGTGTAGACTGGAATAACTAGATTCCAAAGATTGCCCTTCAATTTAGACTCTGCATATTTTGCCGAACATAACTGTTTAAAAATTACAGTAAAAACAGAAAAGATTGAATGGAAATCATTTTATATACATTCATTTTACATTATTATATGTGTTGCAACCCCATTTGTGTCCATTTTTAGGTGCCAAAGAATAGGGATTTAGCTCCTTTAAGCTCACCATGAGATCATTTCACTTTTTCTCGATTCCCGTATTTAAAGGTGTAGTCTCAAAAGGAATGACACCACCTTTTTCAGATACAGATCGCAATATTAACGAAATGAAATGAAATGGGGTTTAACATCCTATTGTGTGCTATGAGGGAAATTTTGCCCGGACAGCGGCACTATGGCCTACTCTTATATGGAATTCCAACTGTCAAGTGATCTTTTACGTGCAAGCCAATGTGTGCACGGGACCTCGGTTTTTCGTCCCATCACAACGACTAGACAGCTGTCCTTGTCGGGCCTCTATCCTGCATCACTGATAAGGGAGAACCACGCCGGAAAATCTGGATGAACCTTCTCGGCCAATGCAGGGATCGAACACCTGACCAAAACGAAATATAGATGTGTATTTTCATCAGATTGGTTTATTACCAACCTTTCTACTCTGATGCCTCTGCGTATCTTTATTTTCCCACTGTTTTTGTTGTATCTGAGCTTCTTTAGCTGTAGCACCTCCACATCCCCACACCTGAAAACAAACCAAATAAAATTTTTATTTTATTTAAAAAAAATACCAAATATTTCATAATTTATTCAAATTGGATGCCGTCTATGTTATGTTCACTAAGTAGTACATCCTCCCTCACACACAATACCGTTTTTGCTAGCAAGACAATTGCATTTGGGGAAATCGCCGGCAAGGTCAATTCCTGGCAATGCAGGCTTATATGCTATAATGCTTATTTTAATAAACGTCTAGTTGAACAGAATGTATCAACCATTACTCCCGATCTAAGGCTCTGTTATTGGATGGGGCATGGTGACCCAGTGAGAAAGGCACTGGCTCACACCAATATGTAGGGTTTTAATGATATACCCTGAGATGGTATATTTCGATATACAAGCCATGGTTTGGTTCACAGATAGAAAAGCTGTGGATAATAATGTGGTGTGTCGCCATTAAATATCATATACTCCTTTTTATTTTTTAAGTAAATTTGAAAAGAGAAAATACTGTGATACGTATCGTATCAAGAGGTTAGCATATCGTTGCAGTCCTATCAATATGTCCCACATCAATCTTAGTATCAGTAGTGCAATGGATGGGACAATAGAACTCCAGCATCCCCTAATCTAATGTCTGGTTGTCCAGATGCTACAAAAAAAGAAACAAAACTCAGCCCCCCCAGGTTATAGAGAGAGAAAGAGAGAGAAATGGGGTTTAACGTCCACTCCACGTGACACAAACTAAGTCATTTCGAGACTAACACATGGTTCAATTTTATTTCAATAATTAGCTTGCACATAGTAGTGGGAGGAAACTTGAGGACTCAGAGAAAACCCACAAGGTTGGACAGGCGACCCTACTCCTTGTCATGTACAACCCTGCCAGTTGACTCAATGACAGACCTTCTGATACAGCACGCATGTGCTAACCATTCGGCTATCCTCCCCCCTCCCCCCACCTAGGGTATATAGAAATGAAATAAATTTAAACCAACCTCTATTTTATGTAGCGTACAGGAAACACCATAATGTTCTATCTGTTCAAAATCTTGTGGTAGAAATATGACTTTATTCTGATCACCTTTACCTACTTGTATACCTTTAGGTAAATCACGTGAATATTCATTCCATAATAACATATTCTCACCAGCTATGGGACAAAATAAAAATAATATTTTCAGCTAAATACATGCAATTAAAATACTAATAATCAGCTCTATTAACAATCTATAAAATATGAGAGAGAGAGAGAGAGAGAGAGATATGGGGTTTAACATCCACTGGACACAAATTAGGTCATTTCGGGACTAACACATGGTTTAATTTTATTTTAATAATTTGCTTGCGCAAAGGGGTCTTTAGCAGTGGGGGGAAAACAGAGGACCCTAAAAAAAAAACATGAGGTTGGACAGGCAACCCTACACCTTGGCACGTACAACCAGGAATCGAAACCCCGCCAGTTGACTCAATGACAGACCTTATGATACAACGCGCACGCACTATAACTATTCGGCTATCCAACCCCCCAAAATAAAATAAGAATCGTCATATTATAGCGCTGGAATTCCAAACAAGTAGGAGCAGGTCATTTCGGGACTAACATATGGTTCAATTTTATTTCAACAAATTCCTTGCACGTAGGGGTCTTTAGCAGTGGGAGGAAACCAGAGGACCCGAAGAAAACCCAAGAGGTTGAACAGGCGACCCTACTCCTTGTCACGTACACCCAGGGAAAAGAAACCATGCCAGTTGACTTAATTACAGGCCGAATGACTCAATGCGCACTTGCTAACCATTCGGCCATCCAACCCCCCTAAAGAAAAACATGAATAAAGAAAATCAGTGGATGTTATAAACTAGGTAATATATACAAACCTTGTACAACTCTATAGACAGGGGATAACTGTATTAACATACAATCAGGTCCTCCAAATAAACTTGTACTTTCTCTATAAATATAAAACATTACACAGTCTAATAAACTTTCTCTATAAAACATCATACAGTCTGATAAACTTTCTCTATAAAGCATCGTACAGTCTGATAAACTTTCTCTATAAAACATCATACAATCTGATAAACTTTCTCATACAGTCTGATAAACTTTCTCTATAAAACATCAAAGTCTGATAAACTTTCTCTATAAAGCATCATACAGTCTGATAAACTTTCTCGATAAAGCATCATACAGTCTGATAAAACTTTCTCTATAAAACATCAAACAGTCTGATAAAATTTCTCTATAAAAAATCAAAGTCTGATAAACTTTCTCTATAAAACATCATACAGTCTGATAAAACTTTCTCTATAAAACATCAAACAGTCTGATAAAATTTCTCTATAAAAAATCAAAGTCTGATAAACTTTCTCTATAAAACATCATACAGTCTGATAAAACTTTCTCTATAAAACATCAAACAGTCTGATAAAATTTCTCTATAAAAAATCAAAGTCTGATAAACTTTCTCTATAAAACATCATACAGTCTGATAAACTTTCTCTATAAACTTTCAGAGATTGTGACACAAACATGCTCAAATCAACCTCCACAGAAACCTTGACATTGAATTATTGAATGAGCCTTGAACTTTGCAACTCGATTATCACAGGTAGACATTTTTGCTGGAAAGCGCAAGACTTGGTATTCGCAATGATCGAGGAACCTAATAGACTCTCAAGCTGAGTGAACACCCAATCAAAATTAGTAGGCTACCGAAATATGCAGGGTATTACGTGAAGGCCTTGATAAGATGTACAGAGTTGAAGTGAGACAAAGTCTTCTATTGAAGATGTTGATATACAGGTTCCAAGCAGATGCTCGATTGCAGTGATGCGGATTCTAGTCCAGTCACAGGTAATGTGCGTAGAATCATGACAGAATTAAACACAACCAATATGTTTCAGATGTCATGGTTGGTCGACATATTTTCTTTTAACTCGATTGTCACTATATTTGGGATTGAGAACATTCAATTTCGGATTGTCAATCAAGTATCCCTAAAGAAAACAGGGGCCTTATTCATGAAATTTTAACTAAGATTAAATCAAAATTTTAGTTATTTGATTGGATAATATTAGATTGATTATAGTGCTTAGCCAATCAAAACTGAGGTATCTACTAAAATTTGGATTTTATCTTTAGTTAAGATTTCGTGAATCGGGGCCCTGACTATTTTTACCCCAAATCTGAAATATATAATAAACCAACCTCCAGCCACAATCAGCAGCTATACAGTAAAGATTTCTTCCTTCAAATGATAAAAATGTCATGGTTGGTCCAGAATACGATGTCACATGATGAGTAAATCTACAAATAAATACATTGATTGGATAATCATACAATAAGAACATAGATAAAGCAGTTGTCTCCCTTTGACTAAGTAGCATGCCCTATAACTCAGGTATTGACCGGTTGGGCTGTTTTAGCAGAGGTTACTGTATTTAATGTTTAGTTTCAAACCAGTGTTGCTATTTCAAATTTATTCTTGTCCGACATATTTACAGAAAATAAAGGGGCATAACTCTCAATTTTATTTAAGCAGACGGATTCCGACGACAATTGAAAATCACCTGTCAACAAAATAATCTTCATTGATGTGGCTTATAATGAGAGAGAGAGAGATGGGGTTTAACGTCCACTTGACACAAACTAGGATATTTCGAGACTATCACATTGTTCAATTTTATTGCAATAATTCGTTTGCGCGTAGTGTTCTTTAGCAGTAGGGGGGGGGGGGAACCGGAGGACACAGAGAAAACCCATAAGGTTGGACAGCCAAACTTACTCCTTGTCACATACAACTGGGGAATCGAAACCACGCCAGTTGATACAATGACAGACCTTATGATAACCATTCGGCCATCCAACCCCCGTTATAATAACAGAAATTTACATTTACGATGATAAACAGCGGTACACTTACATCCAATCATCTACAGATATTTCCAAATTATCTGGATATTAATTAATTCATTTTTCAATGCACAAGAAAACTAAACAGAACATTTGTAAGACTTATAAGCCAAATATTTCCATGAAAAAACCATTGTAATTTGAAAAGTTTCATAGATTAAAAATGAAATGAAATGCGTTTTAACGTCCTACTGTTTGGCTCTGTCTGGGCTCACGAATACAGGCATACATTCATACAGTATGCTATACAGTGTGCTATGAGTGAAATTTTGCCAAGACAGTGGCAAGGTTTCTTTTATGTGCACATTAATGTGTATACGGTAACCTCCACTTTCAGTCCCATCCGAACAACTATACATTGTCCCTTGAAATGACCTCCGTCCCGCACCACTGATAAGGGGGAACCACCTTGGTAAATCCTGATGAACTTTCTCAGTCAACCCAGGGATCGAACACGGGACCTCCAGGTAAACGAGCCAATGTCTTACTAACTGAACCACTGGGCCCCCCTCCCCAACTCTGCTAATATTTGTGACTGTGGCCTGTCTGTTCAGGGTTGGTGGCTACACTAGGGCTGTCCCGAGGCTGAAATTTGACGTATAGGGGTTAGCTCGGACCGGGGAGTAATATACACTAGGTGGCGTTAGCATATCACTTCCGGTTTCAGAGTTACAGGTACAACCCAGGCAGTGTCGCGTTATCCGCTAGTAGATTATAATCCCTGGTTGTCAAGACTACAACTTACCTGTTTAACGACTGACCATGCTGTGAGCTGCTGTATAATAATGACCAACTCTGACACCTGGTTAATCTAGCCTACACAAACATAAAATATACATGTAGATTCCATCATATGATTATAAATTTTGATGATTCTTGTTAATCTAGCCTATACAAATATAACATATCAATATGATAATAAATTTGAAAGCAAATTCTTTTTTCTCATGAAACAAAATAGGGTTTAACGTATTAGTTTTCTTCATGAAAATGGGCATACTCCATGCTATGGTTCTTTTAGCCGCACACCAACAAGAGCTAATAAAAATGGACATAATCCACGCTATGGTTCTTTTTGGGGCACACCAACAAGGGCTAATGAAAATGGACATAATCCACGCTATGGTTCTTTTAAGGCGCACACCAACAAGAGCTAATGAAAATGGGCATACTCCATGCTTCTTTTAGGCACGCACCAACAATGGCTAATGAGGACGGATATCCATGTATGCCATTCAGTGTGTTATGAAAGAAATTTTGCCTGGATAGTGGCACTACTGTCTACTATTATATCGAATCTCAACTTTCAAGGGATCTTTTACGTGCACATTAACATGTACATGGGACCTCGTTTTTTTTTTTATCCCATCCAAACAACTAAATATTGTTCCTTGTCAGAGAGAAATGGGGTTTAACGTCCACTCGACATAAACTAGGTCATTTTGGGACTAACACAGGTAGGTAGGAGTCTTTAGCAGTGGGAGGAGCCTGGAGAAAACCCACGAGGTTGGACGTACAAGCGGGGAATCAAAACCACACCACTTGAATAAATGACAGACCTTATGATTTTGCCCGCACGCGTTAATCATCTCACCCACACCCACCCACACCCAAATATTAAAAGAGATTAGACTATTACCAGTTTCATAATCAGATTATAAGAATTAAGTAGAGGATTATTGGACGACGTTTCACCGGTAGGAGTTCGTGTAAAACTTGTAGGAATGGTTGCCGATAGTACCCACAACATTCCCATGGTTACCAGATATCTACCTTCCGCAAAACCTTCCAACTGTGGAACTGGAGCTGTTTCCTATGACAACAGAAACAAACAAAGACTTAATAAACAGTAGATATATCATTCTATTGCCGTTTAGTTAAACATACATTATGCAAGAGCTAAATCTGCCTATTGCAGGTCTTTCTTTAGGCCTAAAATGTTATCTAAATTATTAATTAGACGTTAATTAACTGATCCAGGCCATAATCAACTCTTGATGGCATGGGATTTCTCCGATATTAAATAGATCAGAACAGTTCAGCCATATTTTGATTTAAGCTAAAAATGGAGGAGCGAGACTTAGCTTCGAACAACCAGTCCAGTACGGAGGTTGAAATTATTGCACACATCTTGTCAAACCTTCAAAGGCTAATATCTTCGCTCGCAATAGAGTAATTTGAATGAAATTTTCAAATTATTCATTTTCAATTATCTATTATAGCCAGAATTGCTAGCTCTTTATCTTAATCTTACATAATGTATCTTTAAACCAATATTTCATTCAATAAACTGAATCAGACAGAACAAGTTAAATTTTATACAATAAACAATGGTGGACATATATATATAGACAGTAAGTTCCAAACATTAAGATATATACATTTGCATATTAAATTATGAAATAAAACCAAAATAACTATATTACATGTATATAAATGTGCTTTAAGATATTCACCATAGTCTACAGATTGCTTGTCAGTCATATAGGTGAATAAAATGGAAAAAGCATTGGTACATTTTTAGATTTGATTTAAAGGGCATATGGCTCTATTCTTTGGAATTTTAAAATAGTCGAAAATGGATCTAAAAGCACATACATATATTAACCCTTTGGAGACTGACACCCTGAACGACATTAGGCTTATATACTCTATACTAGCCTCCCAGGGTAAAAATGAACCCAAAAATTTTTTGGGTAATATTATGAGCCCTTAGGACCCGAGCAGTCTAAAAAAAAGGGCAAGAATACCTTGGCAAGAATACTAAGCTGCCGGTATATCAGCCGCCACAGATACTTGTTCGTTACCGATTGGCTACTGATTGTTTGGTACTCCAGCGGTCTTTTGGCCGCTCGGGTACAAAGGGTTAATGTAATCTGATACATGGTTTTAAAGTGATTTTACACATTTCCAGGACAATGGTGTATGAGAATACAGAAGCTGTCAATATAATGTTAGCAAGGACTTACCAACTCTGATGGAAGTGTAGATCCGGTTAATATACTGAATACCCAGTTGTGTACTCCACAAAAAAAATGGGGACAGTTCCAATTTAACCAACTTTCAAATGCCTCCAACGTTAGCTCTGTTTCGATACCAAACTAAAAATATACAAGATTTAGAATGATACTAGGATGCTTCTAATGTTAGCTCTGTTTGAGCTAAAAACATATTCAAACTATAGAAAATGTGCTTCAAATCCTTCTCAAAACTTTGTGTTCACAGGGAGATACCTCAAGCTATAAATAAACTGTTGTTAGACGCCATGTCTGTCACCTCAGTTCATTAAGGGAGGGTCCAATTTTCAGAATGTATTTTACATACATGTACATGTAACTTACTGTTCATTTACCATACCACTGTAACCCAGGTATCATTTAATCTTGTGTATCTAGCACTAATTTCTTTCACATTCGTTCAATATCAAATCTTTGTTTAAAAATTTGTATAAACCGTTTAAAATCACCAAAAATCATCTAATTTGTACTTGTGTCCAGTTTAAAGCTGACTGATTAATTTTGATAATGAGTGTCCAATTTACAAGTATTTAATTTCGTGACCACTGTCCAAACATTAATCATTATACATCAATAATCAATTGGGTTGTTTATTTCTTAACAATGATTGAGAAATGAAACACTTGTAAATTGGACACTCATTATCAAAATTGAATAGTCAGATTTAAACTGGACAGAAGTACAAATTAAACGATTTATGGTGATTTTAAACAGTTTTTATGAATTTTTAAACAAAGATTGGATATTAAATGAATGTGAAAGAAATTAGTGCTAGATACACAAGATTAAATGATACCTGGGTTACAGTTACTAAAGCCTAAGTAAATTCTTGGAATATCCTCTCCCAACTTCTTTATCTGTCATCTAATTGCAGAGACTGTTGTATGTTTTATACCCCTCAGTGTTCCCAAAACCGCCTAACCCGCTCCCTCAGTCAAGCTAGCACACAATAAACTGGCAGATAACAGTCGGGTTGTGGGTTAGTAAAACCCTGACATTTTTGCCCAGTGCTTGCCCCATGGGTGGGTTTTTTTTTAGGTAATCCAATATTTTTCTAGTAAGATTGGGGGTCTATACTTTCCATATATAGCACATTTGCCTTACTTTCGGGCAATGTATCTTAAAGGATTATATTTGTTTAAAAGAATTATATAGGCTTTGAATGTTTCCCAATCCTCAAATCCATAAAATAGTGTTTATATAAAAAAAATCTTTGTTTAATTTATATAAGTAAAATGAGACAGAGACAGAAATGGGGTTTAACATCCACTCGACACAAACTAGGGTATTTCGGGACTAATATATGGTTCAATTTTATTTCAATAATTTTCTTGCGCATACAGGTCTTTAGCAGTGGGAGGAACGGAGGACCCAGGTCCCAGAGAAAATCAACGAGGTTGGACAGGCAACCCTACTCTTTTTCACGTACAACCAGGGAATCAAAACCACGTCAGTTGACTCAATGAGACATTTCGGCCATCCAACCCCCCATAAGTAAAATGACTATTAGTCTGGTTTTAAATATGTTTAGAGGCAAGGTATCTTACCATACTGGTCACTATTGATTCAAATACTTTCTCATCCCGTTCATCTTTACTGTAGGGTATTTTAGACGCTGATAATGTTAAAGCGTACGCTATTTCTACCATCTGTAGGGCATCTATAATACAACAAATAAATTCATAAACATTCATCTATAATACTCAAATACATATATAAACATTTATCTATAATACAACAAATACATAAACATTCATCTATAATACAACAAATACATACATAAACATTCATCTATAATACAACAGATATATACATACATAAACATTGATTTAAAGGGCATCTACAACACAAAAATATGTTCATAAACATCTATTTAAATTAAAGTCTATTTAGGGCATCAGCAATACAAAAATACATACATAAAAATTCATTTAAATTTCTGTGTGTCCTTTACCACTGTAACCCGGGTATCATTTAATCTTCAAATAACACCCAATTAATCATTATACATCAATAATCAATCGGGCTGCTTATTTTTAAACAGTGATTGGGAAATTAAAAGTTTGCAAATTGGATGCTTGTATGTATATCAAAATTTTACGGTCAGCTGTAAACTGGAACTAAATTAGATAATTTGGGTGACTTAGACATTTCTATGAATTTTCAAACAAAAGATTTGAAATTGAATAAATGTGAAAGACATTAGAGTTAAATACACATGTATGATTATCCAGTATTATTTCTGATTGCTTTATAAACTTTATCAGGATAATGTACTTGATAAATGAGCCTAAGGCACATTTAGGGATTCATTTAGATTTTTTTACTTCCTCTAACTAGGCTAAAATATTTACGTGTGTTAATTAATGAAATTAATGAGAATTAAAAAATAAAACCAGGTCATGGGATCTTTTTAACAAGAATATTTTGTATGTGCTTAATGTGTGTGAAATAGATTTATTTAACGTCCGCTTCCACCGAGGTGATATCGCAGACAATGTCTCTTAATTTATCATATCAATTTAAATACTAAACACGTTTCAACTCTAACAATATCGTAGTTTGCAAGTGTTATAAAATCACCCCCAGAATGATCAAAAAATGAACAAGAGAAAAGATGGAATAAAAACAAATTAATGAGAAAGGTAAAAAACGAGATTTAATGTACATGTAGAGCGAGACAAACAGGGTTTAACATCCACTTGACACAAACTAGGTCATTTCTGGATAAATACTTGGAATGTAAACCATGCCACTTGACTCAATAACCATTTGACCCCCCAACCCCGCCACAGGATTTGTAGACAAAACAAACTCAAAATAAGTGGTTTCCTAACCATTTGTTGGTTGCGACCCTATTCCAGCAACCATCATCTGATCGCAATTCCTCAAAGAACATATCCTAGATACGAGTTGAAAACTCCTAAACTAGTTTCACTTTCCAGATCAAAATGTAATGAGAGACTGACGAAACAAATCGAGAGGAAATGCGATTAACAATGTGGCATGAGCTGAATAGATCAGGGATTTACATGTATTATATATATGCTTTTCATGGAAACATATGTAGCATTTTTTCAAATCTATCAGAGTAGTTCGTCATGGCCCCATGAAAAGTGCTGTGTGACCCCAGCTGGGGTCTCGACGATTGATAAAGCGTATACATGTTTAATCTGAATTGATAAAGTGTATACATGTATAATCTGAATTCAAATACCTTAATCTACGATTTTGTCAGATGGAGGAGACAAAATAAAATGGTTATCATTAAACAGTTCAAAAACAGACCACGTAAATCAGTAAAATATTCGTTTGTAACACAAAAAATTCAGGAAAGATAATCTAGATGTGATGTCTATTATTAATTCTACGCAACATGTAGCTGGGTAAAGTAACTCAGTATATTAATTATATCCCCAATAGCATTGGGTATTGCCACTGCAGTCACAACACGATTCATAATCAGGTCAATATTTACCAAGAAAACAACAGGGTAAATGAATAATTGATATTTTTAGTCCTGCCGATATTGTAGAAATAAAACTGTTTTTTATCACGATATTGATGTGGATCAAAAAAAGGACCAAAACAATTTGAGACAATGGATAGCTGGTTATAGGTACTTTATAAAGGGAGATAATCCCACTATTATACTGACCTGCCTTACTTAACGTGTTATTACCACCAGAAAATAAGCGGAAATAATATTCCTGTTGATCTTTCTCATCAAATTTCTTTAAAACTTCTCGGCCTGATTTTGTGAATTGTTCCCGTGTAATACGTTCTTTAGTTGTTCCGTTGATCATTGTACTGTACATCAATTTACCAAATTTATGTAATGGACCGTGAAATACATTCTGAAAATAGATAATAATGGACCGTGGAATACATTCTGAAAACATTCTGAAAATAGATAATTTATGTAACGGACCGTGAAATACATTCTGAAAATAGATAATAATGGACTGTGGAATACATTCTGAAAATAGATGATAATTTATGTAATGGACTGTGAAATACATTCTGAAAATAGATAATTTACATAATGGACCGTGAAATATACATTCTGATTATAGATGATAATTTATGTAATGGACCGAGGAATACATTCTAAAGTTAGGTTGCCAGGCAACGAAACATACGCCCACAGCAGCAAATCATCCGAGCGGGCGACAAGGGTTGTTGCATATTTATTCCTTTGTACTTGTAGGCAATTGGGGGCCTTTACAAAACAGTTCGATACTGATCAGATTATAATTTTTGCCATTTGAGGGTTCACAAGTTTCTACAAATTGAAACAAGGGTCTCAAATCTGGAAGTAATTGTTGAAATTTGACAGGCTTTTTCGTTTCACAAATTTAAATCATACATGTAAATTTCATACATATCAGATGATAACTTTCATCAATCGAGCATTAACAAGGTTGAACAAAGTGAAACAAGAGCAATAACTCTAGAAGTAATAAACGGAAATTGCTGAAATTCAATAGGATTCTTCTCTTTACTAATTTCAATGACGCATATAAATTTCATACAGATTGGCAGATAACTTTTGATGTTAGAACGTTCACAAGGTTAAACAAAGTGAAACAAGGGCCATAACTCTAGACATAATAAAAGGAAATTGCTGAAATTCAATATGTTTCTTCGTTTCCAGAATTTAAATTTTGCATATAAAGTTCACAAAGATAGGATGTTAACTTTTGGCATTAGAGCGTTCACAAGGTTCAACAAAGTGAAACAAGGGCCATAACTCTAGACTTTATAAACGGAAGTTATTGAAATTAAATAGGATTCTTCATCTCACTAATGTAAACACCATATATCAATTTTAAAACAATTGGATGATAACTTTTGGCATTAGAGCGTTCACAAGAAATTGTTGTCAACGGATGGACGGACAGATCGAGGGACGGAAAGATCGAGGGACGGACAGACGGACGGACGGGGGCGACAGCAATATACGTCCACATTTCTATGTGGCCGTATAAAAATGAATCATTAAATTTGTTTAACGGATCATGGAATACAGTCTACAGTCTACAACTAAATCACAATTTATGTAGCAATTCATGTATGTAACGACTTATGGACTACATAAAAATAGATCATAATATATGTGTGGATCATGGAATAATTTCTAGAAATGGATCGTAATTTATGTTACAATTAATAATTTAGTCAATAATTCATAATTTACATACATTCTAGAAATGGATCATAGTTTATTTAACAGATCATGGAATACATTCTAGAAATAGATGATAATTTATGTAACGAATAATGGAATACATTTTATAGAGTTCAACAACTCCTATAGATTTCAGAACGATTGGATTATGATTGAAGCCGCTAAAGTGCTAAAACGATTTCATATTCACAGGGAATAACTCTGAAAAATCGTTACAAATCAATATTTTTCTCTTAAATAGGGCAGACAACAAATACAAATTTCAGATACATGTAGGTTAATTATTGCTGCATAAAATGTTCATCGAAGGCTCATGAAAAGCTGCATAAAATGTTCATCGAAGGTCCATGAAAAGTTCTAACAAGATTTCTAACAAAGGGACATAACTCTGAAGGTAATTATCAAAACACTAAACATATATGGGTGTATAAACATGATCACATGGATATCAGGGGTTTTTTCTTCTAAAGATAAAATGTTATGACATAATATTGTACTAAAAACACGACACGTACGTCATACAGTATTATTTAAATGATTTTGACCCTTTTTAGGTGCATAGGCATGATAAGGGGTTACATGTTAATTTAACTCTATCAAAAAAAAAAAAACCCATAACTTGATACATTTTCTCATGTCCTGTTTCCTACATAGATGAAGTACAATTATTATAGTTTTTATAAATTTAATTTTGGTTTCACTGACAATGCATAAGACCACCTACATGTTTGGTTTTTTTAAAATTTAGATGAGAAAGATAATCTCGTATTAGATTTTTTAATAAGACTTCAAGGAACAGAGATCAAGGCTCTTCAAGGATCTAAATAACTTAACACCTACTTGTTAAAACACGTGAGAGTTAGATATTTTTTCTATCCACATGGATGATACCAAACATCAGTCAGCTGGACCTCCTGTTTTAACGTGATTTTATTATGATGATCATGGGAGAAGATGACCCGCCCTCTACTGACGACAGCAAATTTTAACACTGTGTTTATATACTAGATCGCTAGCCTGGAGGTTGGGTGTTCGATCCCTGCATTGGCCGAGAAAGTTCATCCAGATTTTTCCGGCGTGGTTCCCCCTTGTCAGTGATGCAGGATGGAGGGCCTGACAAGGACAGCTGTCTAGTCATTCGGATGGGACGAAAAACCGAGGCCCCATGAACACATTGGCGTGCACGTAAAATATCCCTTGACAGTTGGAATTCGATACAAGAGTAGGCCGTAGTGCTGCTGTCCGGGCAAAATTTCCCTCATAGCACACTGTATGGCGTATGCCCGTCTTCAATAGCTCAGTTCGGAGCAGAACAGTAGGACATTAATTAACTTATCCAAACAATAATCAACTCACGATGGCATCGCAAACTTGCGATGTTTATTGGATTAGGTTCCGATTTGCTGTTCGACTTTCATTCATAATTTAATCATGAAATGGATAATTGATACTAAGTTTTTTATCCTACCGACTTTAGGAATGATGATCGAGGCTAGGCCAAAAATTCAAATGCTAAAATCTCGGTTCATAGTGGATCAATTTGACTGAAATTTTCAACAAATTCCCTTTACAGTATCTAGTTTTTAACTATTATATAGTGAGAATGGCCAGCTCTTTAACTAATCTCCCATAATGTATGTTTAAATCAACAATGAAATGTGGTTTAACGTTCAGCTTATCTGCTCCAACAGGACAAATCAAGATAGTCATATGCTATTCAGTGTGTTATGTAATGAAATGGGGTTTAACCTCCAACTGTTCTGCTCTGACCGGGCTAATGTAGACGGTCATACGCCATACAGTGTGCAATGAGGGAAATTTTCTCCGGACAGCGGCGCTAAGGCCTACTCTTATATCGAATTCCAACTGCCAAGGGATCTTTTCATGCATGTTGATGTGTACATGGAACCTCAGTTTTTTATCCCATCCAAACGACTAGACAGGCCTTTCGTCCTGCACCACTGACAAGGCTGAAATCATGCTGAAAACTCCTGATGAAACAGTGGGTTATTAGGGTGTATTATACTGAGTTGACAGAACAAGTCAACTGTGAGACAGGATGACATGGATGAGACGTAGATTATAGAGACAAACATCCAGTATTTTTCCCAAATCTCTGACGTACAGTAATAGCAATCCTAAGGGGGAATCCCTATAGGGGGCATAACTGATACAATATAAATATAAGACCACATTTAATACATGAGATATGACACATGGACCACAGTTAATAATCCCATCAAAATAACTAGTTATTTCTATCTCCGTCCTGAACCACTGATGAGGGGAAATTACACTCAAATGTGTTAATTGACCACACTATATCAAATTCCATAGTATTTATTCTCCCAGGCATACATATGCCATTACAAGAAGGAGAGAGAGGGGTTTAACGTCCACTCGACACAAACTAGGTCATTTCAGGACTAACCCATGGTTCAATTTTATTTTAATAATTCGCTTGTGCGTAGGGGTCTTTAGCAGTGGGAGGAAACCGGAGGACCCAGAGAAAACCCACAAGGTTGGACAGGCGACCCTACTCCTTGTCACGTACAACCGGGGAATCGAAACCCCACCAGTTGACTCAATAACAGATCGTACCATAAAATGTGTGAAATCTCACCTCAAATGTAACTCGAGATAATTCACCAGGATGCGCATTTCCTTCATCAGCTGTTAATTCTAATTTCTGAAAAATATAAAACAACAGACATTACTCACATGTCATCTTTCATATGTTTAATCATGATAACAAACCTTAATCTCTCAACCCTCCGTGTTTCGAGATAAGACATGAGGCCATTACCTTCAACGTAGCACATGCAGGAGCGATTCGCACCCTGCATTTGTAAACAAAATTGACAATATTTTTAATAAAAACAACAATTGATTATTTCTGCCAGACCCAACCAGAATTAAGCATATAATCATACCTGAAACGGGTACAAATCGTCGTTTTTAAAATCGAGGCGTTAAGCGGTTACTAAGATCGCCATCTTTTTTTACGATACGCTGTCATCATGAAGGCGGGGCTAAATATAAGGCTTTTATAACAGCCAATCAATAGGGCAATCTAAAGCACAGTAACTATGAATGGATTTCGATGGCGGTGTATATCAGACAAAAACAACGCTTCATTAATTTAAACGCGAATATTTGGAGTAAGGCGACAGTTGTGCCACTACACTGGCCTCTGTAAGTTTAATTAATCATAATAGCATAAACTTATCTTATTTTAAAGATGTTACATGCATTAAAATTGAGTTTGCCACTTGGAACTAAAGGCATCCAATCGTAGCTAAAAACAAACACATCAGTATATCTCAACGTTTTTAGCTACGTTCTCGTAGCTAATGTTTAATCATGCACCAACCTGATATACCATTACCTCCATGTCATCTTTCAAAAGATTAGCTGGGTAAATGATGGGTTAAAGGTGGGGTAGAGGAGTTAAAAGTGGGTTAAAGGTGGGGTAGAGGAGTTAAAGCGAGAATTTCATATTTTCTAAGAAAGTCAAAACATAATTATTTCTATGTCTTTTGCTCAATACATGTAGGTTATCAACTCACTATTATATGATCATAGGTGTCATTCTCACACTTAAAACTCATTTACACAGGAAATGACAACACAATTACCTCCCTTGTTTTCCTATTGAAAACAATGGTCAGCCATTTCCTCAACGTTGGAATTTGAAGTTGAAAATGATATTTTTGCCAATTTCTCAGTTGGCAATAATGAATTATAGGATTAATATGATTATTCTTTAACAAGGTAGGACTGTTTATAGATACCATCTATTTTAAGGCTTTAACTTAAAAATTTGAAATTTCCGCTTTAAAAGTGGGGTAGAGGAGTTAAAAGTGGACTAAATGGTGGGTTAAAGGTGGGTTATAGGAGTTAAAAATGGGTTAGAAGGTGGGTTAGAAAGTGGGATAGAAGGTGGGTTAGATGAGTTAAAAGTGGGTTAAATGCATTAAAAGTGTGTCAGAAGGTGGGTAAATGATGGGTTAGAGGAGTTAAAAGTGGGTAAATGGTGGGTTAAAAGTGGGTTTGAGGAGTTAAAAGTGGATTTGAGGAGTTAAAAGTGGATTAGAAGGTGTGTTTCAGGGGACAAGAGAATACTCGCCACCCTCATTTTATATACTTTTATAATATAAGCACTCCTTCAATCGACTGTCTAATAATGAATCTGAGATGTACAAAAGTTGCATTGAAACAAGGCAACAAAAAATAGCTGTACAATTGGTGTTTAATTGTTAATTGTTATATCTTATTGCAAATGGTAGAAAATACTTAAATATACATGTATCCAAATCAGGACTCTCTGGATCAAAATATTGTCATTTTTAGTCAGGGTTACATGTACATGAATGCCACATACTGGTACTAGACCCAACAATATGATTCATATTTACATATGGTAATGATTAATCTGATTACAACACAGATCCTATTTCTTTTCGGTTTTTTTATAATTCAAAATTTCGTTTTACTTGTCTTTACTACACTAGGATCTGGAAGAGTTGTTGTCATTGGGGTGTTCTGGATGATCTGAGGGTTTAGGCAATGAAACGGTCTGTCACAGTGAGCTTTTGGCGTGTGGTGCACAGGCTGTGGTTAATCCACTAGAAACATCAATGCTGATTGTTTAATCAAATGTCTGAGGTCATAGGGACTTAAGTCGGTCTTTTGACCCCTGACGTGACCTATCGCTATAACTTGTCAGATCTTCATGTAGTGTACTGTAGGCTATTGAAAGTATAAAAAAACGAAATGAAATATAGATCTGTATTTTAATCAGGTTGAGTAATGAAGAAAAAAAATGCAATACAAATACAGAAATGTCATTTCTACCCTCTCATCACTTTATTCAAATTACAGTCATTAATATCAATTATAAGGAGAGAGAGAGAGAGAGAGAGAGAGAGAGAGAGAGAGAGGGTTTAACTTCCACTTGACACAAACTCGGTCATTTCGGGACTAACACATAGTTCAATTTTATTTCAATAATTACATGTAGCTTGCACAGAGGGGTCTTTAGCAGTGGTAGGAAACCGGAGGACCCAGAGAAAACCCACGAGGTTGGACAGACAACCCTACTACAACTGGGGAATCGAAACCACGCCAGTTGACTCAATTACAGACCTTATTATACAGCGCGCACGTGCTAACCAATCATTTTATTCAAGTTACAGTCATCAGTATTAATCATAAGGAGAGGGAGAAAGAAATGGGGACTAACTCGATCATTTCGGGACTAACATATGGTTCATTTTTTTTTCAATAATTTGATTACATGTAGGGGTCTTTAGCAGTGGGAGGAAACCGGAGGACATGGAGAAAACCCCCCCGAGGTTGGACAGGCGACCCTACTAATTTGACTCAATGACAGGTCTTATGATATTACGCGCACGTGCTAACCATTCAGTCGTCCAAACCCTAATTAATCGTAAGACTGGCTTACAAATGTAACCAATTTATTTTGGATCCCAGAGGAAAACTTGTTACTTCTTCATACCTGTGCCTGGAGGGTACATTAACTGTATTACAGGGGCGGATCCAGGATTTTCAGAAAGGGGTGGGGGGCGTGCTGCCCCCACTTGGGAGTGCGAAGCCCGGCCCTTGGTGGGCGGACTGACAGGCAATCAACCAAGTAACCAACCGGCTTGTTTCGGAGTAAATTATGACGGTGACCACTACCATTTTTAAGTATTTTTGTTCTCCTTTCCCGCAAATTGTTCGCCACCACAAAATGGACCCGCGTCTTGAGTATTATCCCCCCACCAACCCCTGCACTATATACCCTTCACAATACCTGCCCAACTACAATTTCATTGCGTGTATATAAAAGAATCATGAACAATTACTGAAGTCATTATGTATTATAACTGAAGAAATTGTGGTGTACAGTTTACAATTTGTCACGACAGACTGGAAAAAAATATAATACGTATGTATCTTCATTGTAATAAAACTATTTGAGGTAAAAATTAATTGACATTTTAAATATAATATTATCTTCATTGTAATAAAACTATTTGAGGTAAAAATTAATTGACATTTTAAATAGAAATGAATAACCATAAAAATATTTTCTTCGTGTTGTACTTGTATGGTGTTTTATAAAATTAGATATTATGAATGAGTATTGTTTGAAATATTTGTGTGACAAGTATGAATGAATGAATGAATGGTTATAACAGGCTACACATGTACTGGTCAAGTACAGTCGTCATAGGATCAAAGGATAGTAAGGCACAATAACTTGCATTAAAGGCACATTATGTAAGATTTAGATAAAAAACCTGACACTGTGCCAATTCTTGATATAAAAGTTCAAAAATAGATAATGAAAAACAAATACCGTTTATTGAAAATTTCATTCAGATTACTATATTCTGAGCGAAGTTATGGCTGTTTGAAGGTGTAGCATAGATTATGGGCGAGGTATGTGAACTATATAACTTTTGAGGAAATAGATAGATTCAGACCTTACATAATGCTTCTTTAACTTTCAAGGAACTAAACGTGCAGGACCAAGGGCCTGGCAAGAAACAATGTATAGTCGTTCGAATGGGACAAAAAACCGAGGTCCAGTGTACACATTGGCGTGCACTTAAAAGATCCCTTGGCAGTTGGAATTCCAGACAAAATGCCTGTTTTCATTTCCATGTTCAATTACCAAATACTAGAGAGAGAGAGAAAAATGGGGTTTAACGTCCACTCGACACAAACTAGGTCATTTCGGGACTAACATATGGTTTAATTTTATTTCAATAATTCGCTTTCACGTAGGGATCTTTAGCAGTGGGAGTAAACCGGAGGATTTGGAGAAAATCCTTGTCACGTACAACTGGGGGTCCCGTGTTCGATCCCTGTGTTGGTCAAGAAAGTTCATCAGGTGCCTCCTTGTCAAATGTGCAGGACCGAGGGCCTGGCAAGGAACAATGTATAGTTGTTCCAATGGGACGAAAAACTGATGTCCAGTGTACCCATTGACGAGCACGTAATAGATCCCTTGGCAGTTGGAATTCCAGATAAAATTTCCCTCACAGCTTGTCTTCATTAGTCCAGTCGGAGCAGAACAGAAGAACATTATATAACCCCCATTTCATATTCGATTACAAAATACCATTGGAACGATGTAAATAGAGTGCTTTCTGATAACAATTTGGTTATTCCCAATAATAGATATATATATATATATCACCACGTACAAGTTTAAATCAGCCGATCTTTATCTAAACCTTAATAAATTTATAGTGTGTTGAGAGTTGAGAATAGTTTTTGCTTTGAACTATTTATGTCTATTTACTTGAGATAAAATACTGATCATGGTACAGTGTAGATGAAGTTTTCGTATGTTATGGTAACAATACAGAATATATACAGTTTAAAACCTTACACCCAAACATATTTTCTTTTATCAAGGACAAAATAGCTCTATACTTTAGAGCCTTGAAGAGAGAGAGAAAGAAACTAGGTCATTTCGGGACTAACATATGGTTCAATTTTATTTCAATAATTCGCTTGCGTGTAAGGGTCTTTAGAAGTGGGAGGAAACCAGAGGATACAGAGAAAACCAACAAGGATGGACAGGCGGCCCTACTTCTTATCACATACAACCGGGGAATCGAAACCCCATACACCACTTGACTTAATGACAGACAGACCTTATGATACAAC